CCAGCCGTTTCCTCCAGAGACTTGGACTTGTCGGCTTGAACTTGTCGGCTTCTATATGCTTGTGAGCCATTTTCCTAAGATAAATTTCTCTCTCTGTCTCTCTCTATAAATATATATATATATACACTTTGCTGGTTTTTGTGTTTCTCTGGAGAACCCAATCTAACACAATGCCTAAATATGTACCCACATAAATGTCTGCTGTTTATAGCTGTTACATAATATAAAACCTAAATAAATTTTAAAATAACTACAAACAACACAATCTCAATAAAATTCAACTGAACAAAATCAGTTTAACAAGGTAGATGATGTGTGGCTGAAATGAAATTGCCACTTTATGGCAATTTCCATAGTAAAATGTACAGCAAAGATACTTTTGAGTTCAGCATGCATAAAATACCTTTTGTCTTGTGCTAATTTAATTCTTCTACCTCATTTCTCTATCAATGCTGCTGTAAAATATTGTTTCCGCTGTCATTAAGGCATCACTAGGCTTGTTGAGAATATACACAGAAAAACATACACCAATTCAACAATTTATACATGTACAACTCAGTGACATTTATTATATTCTTCAAGTTGTGCATCCATTATCACCCTCCTTTTCTGAGCTGTTCTTCTCCAGTTAACATAAGCTCACTGCCTGTTTCCTATCTAACCTTTTGAGTTGCTGTTGTAACTTTGATCCTATATGTTTTGTGTGCCAATAAGTTGGTTCCCAGTCATAGCAACCCTTTGTACAACAGAACAAAACATTGCCCAGTCCTGCACCATCTTCATTTTTTTTAAGCTCACTGTTGCAGCCACTGTGTCAATCCATCTTTTATGTGATCTTCCACTTTTTCTCAGACCTTGTACTTTTACCAAGCAAGATGTCCTTCAACATAAAGAATGTCATGTAGTATTTCTTGTGTGTGTGGGTGGAAGGAGATTTTTATGTCAGCAAGTCCTCTCAGTGTTTGTTGCCTGAAATGTTTTTATTTCACCTTTATTATTTTTTAAAAAATGTATTTTTGATGGCAATATACACAACATACATTCATTCACAATTTCTATGTGAACAGTTGAGTAACATTGATTACGTCACATTTTGTCACCATTGTCACTCTCTCTACCCATATTATTACCAATAATTTAGGCTCTTTGCCTGTTAAAGTTATCATCTGTGCTTTAGATGAACTGTTGTTGGATTAAGCTCAGATAGATAATTCTTTTTAAGGGCATTATACTCAAGGCAAACACATTTTATTAATTGGGATAAGCTATTGTTAGGAGCTCTGGTGGTGCTGTGATTAAAGCATTCAGCTGTTAAGCAAAAGTTCGGCCATTTGAACCACCAGGTATTACATGGGAGAAAGATGAGGCAGTCTGCTTCCAAAAAGATTTACAGCCTTGGAAACCCTTTGGGGCAGTTCTACTCTGTTCTGTAGTGTAAGGTCACTATGAGTTGGAATTGCCTCAATGGCAGTGGGTTTGGTTTTGTTTGGTTGTTTAAGTTTAACAATGACACCATGGGATAGTTTTGGTTCAAGTTTTAAAGGTTATTTCTGGGCCTTATTTTTTGAGATTCACCTAGTCTCAATGGATTTAGTAAGTCAGGTTTCCATATGAATCTGTTCCATGCTTTTTTTTTTTTTTTTTTTTTACCATTTTGATCCAGATCCATGTTTTGGGTCCTTGATCAAACTGTACAGTAATGGTAGCTGGGCATCATCCATTTCTTCTGGTCTCATGGTAATGGAAGTAGTAGTTATAGATGCAATTAAACCTGCAGTCCATTTTCTTCTTTGATTCCTGGGCCTCCCCCTTCCTCTGCTGTTCCATGTGAATAGAAACCAATTGTATCTTGGATGGCTGCTCCCAAGCTTTTAAGACCCCAAGCACTACTCACTGATGAAGAAGGTAGAACAGAAATTCTAAAAACAATGTTAGGCCAATTGACTGGATAGACCCATGAATCATGGCCCTAAACGTTCTAACTCACAACACTAATATGTGAAGTGTTTATTGTACCTAAGTAGTAGTATCAACAGGGACTTTTTTTTTTTTTTTTTTGGCCGTTGATGTGGTTGTAAAATTATATAAAACACTTTGCCATTTTGTCCCTCCTTTTTGTTTCCTGTTGTACAGCTTAATAGTAACATCTATTAGTCTGATTGTGTAACCATCATCCTTAGTCAATGACAATTTTCCTATCACCAATGACAAAAATTTACTACTTCCCAGTGAGTGATTTTCCTTCCCTCTTCCTGCGCTGGTAACTACTAGTAACCATTTGTCTCTATATAATTACCTATTCTTGACATTTTATAAGAGCGAGGCTGTACAATATTTATCCTTTGTTACTGTCGTGGTTGTTAGGTTCTGTTGCATTGGTTCCAAATCATAGCAACCTCTGTACAATAGAATGAAACACTGCCTGGTCTTGTGCCATCCTCACAGTCTTTGCTATGCTTGAGCACATTGTTGCAGTCACTCTGTCAATCCATCTCATTGAGGGTCTTACTCTTTTTCGTGGACCCTCTTCTATACCAACCATGATATCCTCCAAAGACTGGTCCCCCCTAAAAATATGACCGAAGTATGAGAGGCGAAGTCTTATCATCCTGGCTTCTAAGGAGCATTCTGGCTGTACTTCCTCCAACACAGACTTACTTGCTCTTCTGGCAGTCCATGGTAGATTCAGTGTTCACCAACATCTGTTGATGGGCACTTGGGTTATTTCCACCTTTTTACTGTTTTCACTTTTGTTTTTGAAGAATATTTCCACTGGGTATAGAATTCTAGATTGTCAGGGTCTCTCTCCCTTTTCTACCCTCTTCAGCATTTTAAAGATGTTATTCCATTGACTCCTGGCTTTCATTATTGTGCTTAGAAGTCAGGCATTTTTCTAACTTATGTTTCATTGAATGTAATGTCCACTCCCCCCAAAAAACCAAAAACTCACTGTTGTCAAGTCATTTCTGACTCATAGTGACCCTCCTTGGGTTTCTGAGGTGGTATCTCTATGTAAGTAGATTGCCCTATATTCCTTCTGTTTTTATTTTCTTTTTTACCTTGGTTTTAAGCAGTTTGACTGTGTGTCCAGTCTTGTTTTATTTTGTATTTATCCTGCTTGGGATTTGCTGTGCTTCCTGAATCTGTAAGTTGATGTCTTCCTCTGGTTTGTAAGAATTCTCAGTATTAATTTTAAAATATTTTTTCTGCCCTGTTTTCTCTCTTCTTTCTTTCTGGGACCCCAATTCATTTATGTTAGATAATTTAATATTGTCTCACATATCTTTTAAGTTCTATTTTTGTGTTTTAGCTTGGATGCTTTTTTTTTTTTTTTTAAATAGTGTGATTTGGGTGAAAGTTTGCAGGGCAATTTTGTTTTCTATTCAACAGTTCATACACATTTTGTTTTGTGACATTGATTGCAATCCCCATAATGTAACAGCTCTCTTCCTACTTTCTCCCTGTGGTTACGTTTTTCCTGTGTCCTTCTCTCCTATGCATTCTTGCCTTATGAGCTTTCTGTCTGTGCAAATGCTGATCCTCTGATCTCCCATGGTTGTTTGTTCTACAGAGTGTACCTCCTTGGTGTAATTGTTCCCCTTGTAGGCCTGCCTGTTGTTTGGCTGAAAGTTAAGCCATGGGAGTGTGAGTTTAGTTCCAGGCCCAAAGGGTGACCAGGGGCCATAGTCTTGGATTTCATCAGTTTGTCAGACTGGTAATCCTGGTCGCTTTTATGATTTTGAATTTTGTTCCACATTTTTCTCCCACTCTATCCAGGATCCAGAAGGAAGATGGGGCAATCTACTTTTGTAGTGATACTGCCTTGGAAATCCAAGGAGGGGTCACTATGAGTCAGGTCTGACTTGATGGCACATAACAACAACAACAACATCCAGGATCAGTTTGGATGCTTTGTATTGACCTGCCTTCAAGATTAATGATCCTTTATTTGGCTTTGTCCAGTCTTCTGATAAGCCTGTCCAAAATCTGACCCATAGCAACCGCTCCTTGGGTTTCCAAGGCAGTATCACTACGGAAGTAGATATCCCAGTCTTCCTTCCGAGGAGTGGCTGGTGGGTTTGAGCCACCGGCCTTCTGGTTAGCAGTCAGATGTCTTAGGCACTATGCCACCAGAGCTTCTAGCCTATCCAGTGAATTCTTAATTTGAAATATTTTATCTTTCAGTTATAGTGTATCCAGTTTGATCCTTCTTAGAGATTTCATTTTTTTGATGAAATTCTCCATCTTGTTTTTGTATTTTTTTTAATCATATTGTCTATTTTCTTTAAGATACTTATAAAAGTTAAAGTTCCTATCTGCTAACTAAGGAGCTCTGATAGCGTAGTGTTTAAGCCATTTGACTGCTAACCAGAAGGCTGGTGGTTCAAACCCACCAGCCACTCCTCGGAAGGAAGACTTGGAAATCTACTTCCATAGTGATACTGCCTCAGAAACCGAAGGAGGGGTCACTATGCATTGGATGTGACTTGATGGCAGTGAATTTTGTGCTTTTAGTTTTATTTGCTCACTAGGGACTCTGGTGGCATAGGGCCTAAGGCATTTGACTGCTAACCAGAAGGCTGGCTAATTCATATATATATATATAATTCTCTGTTTATTCTAGTTACTACAGTGTAAGAGATTGTCTGTGATGTCCTTCTATGTCCTAAACAAAAGTGGAATTTTGTGAAACATTATTAATTATAGTTATTTTCATGTACCATATATTCAATTCTATAATGCTATGATCATTAATAATTTATAATGGAACGTACTAATATTTGAAAAGCATTTTAAGTCTATGCATTCCTTCTTTTAATGTGAAAAATATTAAAGCTTTAAGAAATAATTTATTGCTATATGAAGATACAATTTTATTTTTAAATGAAAAGTCTATATAAAAAGTATAGACTTTTGTGTGAATTAATTTATATTATTATCAAAATGCATTCTATTTTTTAATCATTATTATTATTTCAGGACTTTATGGAATGTGCTCATGAAACCTGCAAAGCACATAATCTTCAGCCTGTTAAATTTTTTCTTGATAAAATGATTCAGACCTATGAAATGATGATTGTTAGGCATGGGTAAGATTACAAATTATCATTTTCTTGTAGTTATATGTTATTTTCCATTCGAATAATTAAAAATCAGTATCCAAGGATCATTTTAAGTCTTGAACATTCACATATATTTTAGTTCAGACTCATGGTTTCTTTGTCAGTAAACTCTCTCCAAAAACATAATCGACTTAAATACCTAGGAATAAATTTAAGCAAGGAAGTGAAAGGCCTTACACTAAAAACTATAAAATACTGCTTGAAGAAATTACAGAGTAGCAATTAAAAGAACAGTAGATTAAGCAAGGAAGCAAGCACAACAGAGAGGAAGACACATGCCACAGGATCACCAAGGAACCTAAGAATAAAGCTGGAAAAGAGAAATGGACCTTCCCCTAAAGAGGGAAAAAGAAGAAGAAGAAATTAAAGGAGAGCTAAATAAATAGAAAGACATCCTGCTTTCCTGGGTCGGAAGACCTAATATTGTTAAGGTGTGGGTTCTACTCAAAGTGACCTATACATAGCATGCAATTTCCATTAAAATTCTAATAGCCATTTGTGCAGGAATGAAAGCACTGATCCTCAAATTCATGTGGATTTGCAGTGGGCTTGAATAAGCAAAACAATCTTAAAAAAAAAGAAAAAGTAGGAGGTCTGACACGTCCTTATTTCAAAACATTCTATAAAGCTTCAGTAAACAAAGGCGTCTTGTATAATTTTTTGTTGTTATTTGCCATCGAGTCAGTATAATAGTAGACATATATATCAGTGGAATAGAATTGAAAGTCTAGAAATAAATTAGCTAATTTTCTATAATGTGCTAAGTCCATCTAATGGAAAAAGAATAATCTCTTATATTATTCCCACTTATATTAAACTGACTCTCCAAATGCAAAATGATAAAGTTAGAGCCATATATTACACCATATACAAAATTTAATTCCAGATGGATCAATGACCTAAAAGTAAGAGCTAAAACCATAAAATGCTTGAAAGGAAATATAGGGGTACAGCTTCAAGACTTTGTTAGGCAATGAATTCTTATTTATGACAACAGAAGCATGAGCAACAAGAGAAAGTTGGTAAACTGGACTTCATCAAAATTGAAAACTTTTGTACATTGAGGATATTAACAACTGAGTGAAAATACAACCTAGAGAATGGGAGAAAATATTTGGAAACTATATATCAGATAAGAGTTCAATATCCAGAATATATCAATAACTTTTACTACTCAGCAATAAAAAATGAGCCAAGGGCTTGAATAGATACTTCACCAAAGAAGATATACCAGTGGCCAACACTCAAATATAAAGACACTCAACATCATTTAGCGAAATGCAAATCAAAACCACAATGAGATACCACTTCACCCCGAATAAGATAGCTTTTTAAAAAGATAGAAAATAGTAAATATTGATGAGAATGTGGAGAAAATGAAAAACTCTCACATTGCTAATGGGGATGTAAAATGGTGCAGTCCCTGTGGAAATATTGTTTGGAGGTTCTTCAAAAAGTTGAACATGGACTTACTATATGGCCTACTATTCCCACTCATATACTTAAAAGACACATGCACACCAATGTTCTTTACAGCATTATTCACAATGGCCAAAAGATGAAAATAACTTGTATTATTAGCAGATGAATGGATAGACAAAATGTGGTAAATGCAATGGAGTCATATTCAGCTATTAAGAGAAATAAAGTTCTGATACATTCCACTACATGGATCAACCTTGAAAATATTTTGCTGAGTAAAATAAGCCAGATACAAAAGGACAAATATTGTATGATCCCACTTATATGAAATATCTAGAATAGGTAAATCCATCGAGATGTAAGAAGAGTAGTGGTTACCAGCGGATAGGAACAGAGGGAATGGAGGAATGTTAAAAAAAAAAAAAAGGAGCAGCATCATTAAAGATCTCTTTTCATGCACATTACAGTGTTTCCTTAGTCTGTTATTCTAATGGAGGTCTTTAGTTAAATAGGAACTATCTGTGCTAAGAAGTAATACTCACTGTGCTTATTGTTCATTGGTTGGAGTTAATCGCATAGTTTCTCCACAAGTAAGCCAGGAGGAACTCTGCTGTGTGCCGGAGGATGGAACACCAGAAATATTTGGCAAAGAGCAAGTGAAGACTTTGGGAAAAGGAATCCTTTCCACTCCTCTCCTTAGGAAGTCTCAACTCTGTTTTTTTTTTTTTCTTTTTTTAATTTTAAGAGTATACAGATACTAAGATTTTATTGTCATTTGGAGACTTTTTATTATATTCCCTTTTGTAGTTAATGATAATGTGGACAATTTAATTTAGAGATCAACCAGTTTAGAATCTATTTTCCTTGCATCTGAGAAAAGTTTATATAATTTTAAAAATTATGAATAGTAATTATTATAAGGTAAAAGTATATATGGCAAATAATTTTTTACAGAATCTTACTGTGTAATTACTCTTTTTCACTAATAGTTTTATGCTAGTAGGAGAGCCTTTTGCTGCTAAGACTAAAGTTCTGCATATGCTGGCTGATACTCTAAGTCTCATGAATGAACGAAACTATGGAGAGGAAGAAAAGGTTATATATAGGACTGTAAATCCCAAATCCATTACTATGGGCCAACTTTTTGGACAGTTTGATCCAGTGTCTCATGAGGTAATCTACAATTTAAGCATTCTTAGCCTTTATTTACAGTACACATTAAACCAAGAAATTTGAAGTGTTTTCATATTTTCAGTGCTAAAGTCAGTTTTATAAAGGAAACTTCCCAACTCTTCCTTTTTTCTTCTTAGTGGACTGATGGTATTGTGGCTAACACTTTTAGAGAATTTGCCTTATCAGAAACGCCTGACCGGAAGTGGGTGGTATTTGATGGTCCCATTGACACCTTGTGGATCGAGAGCATGAATACAGTATTAGATGATAATAAAAAGGTAAATAATCATGATTAAAAGCAAAGCAAATGTTGGAATGTTTAAGCAATGTTATGTGTTCAACAGCTAATCAACTAGGACTATATATTTAAAATACAAGATGTAGCAAGTTGGGTAGTTTTATAAATAGTTTATATTTCAGTGGGCGCTATGCTGTAGTAATACCTTTGCTTAATTTCTTTTCATTGAATGAAACTATATTGTATTAGAGCTCCTGTTTTAGCACAAGACATAGTAATCTAATAGATAATTAAGTTATTAAGTGACTCCAGTCATAGGGTTTCTTACAAAACTTGAAAATAATATCTTAGGAGAAAATAAAAAACCCTCATTGCTTTTTGAAAGCACTGAATGCTTGCTTCACTGCTTTTATGTAGTATTTTCTTAGGATCTGTAAGATACACAAATGAGCTAGAAAATGGAAATCTTCTAATATCTATTCTGAGTGATAGCATGCATACTCAAAAAAAAAACCCTCCAAACTCACTGCCATCGAATCGATTCCAACTCATAACAACCCCCCATTGTGTTTCCAAGGCTGTAAATATTTACAGAAGCAGACTGCCTCATCTTTCTTCCACAGAGTGGTTGGTGGGTTAGACCATTGACCTTTTGGTTAGCAGCCAAATGCCTTAACCACCACATCACCAGAGCTTCTAAGCATACATATAGTAAAATATAACAAGTATACTGAATTTAAGTGTAAATTCTCTGTATTTTTTTTTACATATGTATACGCTCACATAACCACCACCCAAATAAACATGCACAAAGTTTCCTGCACCCTACAAAGTTCCCACATGTCTCATATCAGTCTGTATCCCCTCCACAAGAGGTAATCACTATTCTGACTTGCTGTGGTCAGTTAGTTTGGTCATTTCTTGAACTTCTTGTACATGTCATCATACTCTTCAGTGTCTGGCTACTTTTGGTCAATATAATATTTGTGATATTCATGTTATTGTAGTTCCAGTTAATTCTGTTTTATGCTTATATTAGTATTATACTCTATGAACAGTATCATTATTTATTTTCATATTTACATGAAATAACTATTTACTAAAGAAACAATTTAATCAACATGCAAATATAGACTCTAGCACTTTTACATAGCTGGTTGGTCATTTCTTTCAGCAGTGTTGATTGAGATGAGAGGGCAAATTAGACAAGAAGCAGTGATGATTCAGAAGAGAGGAGTTAATAAGTAGAATGGATTAAATCTAAGGATTCAGAGCCAAGTGGAAGAATTGTCTCATATTTTGGATGAGAAGAAAGTATGAAAGTATGGGTATAGATATTGGTGAATGTATGGACTTAATGGAAGAAATTAAAAGGCAGACCATTTTGATGACTTTTATTTTTCTCTACGAAGCAGTAAGCCCGGATTTGAGGCGAAATGAGGAGATTTAAATTAGCCATTATGGGAAATGGGAAAGAGAAGTGCCTAGGAAAATAGAAGGATGTATGTGGTTAGCACTGAGAACCTGAATGAGCTGAAGACCGTAAATTATTAGTATTACCAAAGTTTGCCTTTATGAGATTCTCTCTGCCAGTACAAGCAGTTGGGTTGTGGGTGTGGGTAAACTTGCTAGACTAAGAATACCGAAAAACTTGAAAGGTATTGCACAAGAATAATAGAAGTGCTGGACCAGGAACAGAAGCTGCCTCGTGAAGGAAGTGGAAAAAGCAGTGGAAGTCCCTATGAAAATGAAGAGCAAGTTTAGTAGAAATCACGGAGTGAGAGAACTGGAGAGATCCCTAGAGGCTGCAGGCAGAGAGTGAGATACTTGAATTTAACATTTCAGAATTGTGTAGTGTTTCAGGAGGGGTAGTCCTAGGTGTGTAAAGTGGATGGCTGGAGTGAAGTAGGGGAAAATAACTGAAGACAAAATAGTCAGTGATCTGAAGGGCTGCATTGTTAAGATGCTCATCCTCATGAACACTGCATCAAGGTAGATTTGGGAGTACAGAGAAAGAGATTAAGCCGAGTGCTGAAGGATTTAGCTAATATGGAGAATGCTTCGGTGCTGGTGTGTGACAGCAATAAGTGAGGGTTATTAAAAAACAAGGATTGTACATGAGGATGAAGTTGAAGCAGTTGGGAAGCAGCATGGGGGAGTAAGGAGAATGGTAACTCCACCTTCCAAATTTTTGACGAGTAGGAGAGTGTTTGCTGAAATAATCTGGTAAAAGGTTATAAGTGCTCTAGACCAGCACTGTTCAGTTGAACTTTCTGTAATGATGGGAGGATTTGTGCTGTCCAATAAGATAGCCACTTGTCATATGTGGCTGTTGCTTATTTGAAATGTGGCTAGTGTAATCGCAGAACTGAGATGTAAATTTCATTTAATTTTAATTAATTCAAATGAAATATAAATAGCCACATATGGCTAATGGCCACCATATTGGACAGTGCAGATCTAGACCTTTCCTTCATTTTTACAGCTAAGAAACTGAGATCTGAAAATGTTAAATGCTTCATTATTAACATATAATTGACAGGAGCAAAACTGAGACCAGAATAATGATTGTAGAAAGAGAGAGGAAAAACTGAAAAATAATACAGAGAAAGAATTTAAAAGACCTATTGATTAAATCAATTTGGAATTTCAACCATTAATAATTTTTATTAATATTATTAAAAGTTAGTAATTCTAAAGGTATAGGCCAAGGAATTTGAGAAGATAGGATGGCTTTAATAATAGTGGAGAATATTGGAATTTGAGAGAAGAGAAGCAATTGATAAATTAAGATTTCAGCATATTTGATCAAAGAGGAATTGTTTTAGATTAAAAGAGACAAAGAAGACATAACGAGAACAAGGCATGACCCTTGATTGAATTTTGGTTTGAATAAATCAGTTGAAAAGACATTTCTGACTCAGCTGAGGAAATACGAATATTGACTGAAAATTAAACACCCCTGCTTTTGAGTCAATTCCAATTCATAGTGACCCTTTAGAACAGAGTAGAACTGCCCCATACAGTTTCAAGGCTATGAATCTGTACGGAAGCAAACTGCCTCATGGTTGGTCTTATGGAGCAGCTGGTGGATTTGAACCTCTGAACTTTTGGTTATCAGCCCAGTGCTTTAACTGCTGCCAGCAGAGCTCCTATTGGGTGAGTATTAGATGATATTAAAGAATTATTATTAATTTTGTTAGAAGTGGTTATGTTATTGTGGCTACCTAGAAAATGTTCTTCTCTTTTAGAGATGAATACTGACATATTAAGACATGAAATGCTTTGATATCTGTAGTGTTCTTTAAAACACAAACAACAGCAAAAAAATGAAGCAATTATGGAAACATGCTAACATTGTTTAAATCTAGGTGCTGAGTATATGAGTGTTCATTATACTATTGTCTCTTTTCTATTTATTACTAATTTTTGAAAAGACCCTATGACAACTTTATAAAATCAGGAGTACTTTATATAATTTTATTAATAGTAAGAACTGACATTTATGTAGCATTTTACAGTTTTTGGATTTTGCCATATATTCCAACCTCCACCGCCCCACCTCCCACCCCACCCCCCACCCCCCATTCTGAGAGACAAAGTATCCCAGTTTTAAAGACAAAGAGACTGGAACTCAGATGTTATGTATTTTCTTACCTAGTAAATCATTGGCAGAACTAGATCTAGATAGATCTTCTAGCTTTCTTTTGAATACATATTCCATTATACCACAGGAGATACTTTATAAGTAGAATTAAGTTTTATCTAAGAAGTTTAAAGTATTTTAAAAATAAATGTTTACAAAATAATTTCCTTCAGCTTTGCCTTATGAGTGGAGAAATCATTCAAATGTCTCCTCAAATGAGCCTCATCTTTGAAACAATGGACCTCTCTCAAGCATCAGTAAGTTTATGATTAAATACAACAGTGGTTTTTAAATTTGTCCATTCATTCACTCATTCGTTTATATTTTTTATTATTTGTTAGACCCTGGGTTAGGCACTGGGAGTACAAAGCTGAGTAAGGCACAGTATAAGTTCATTTAGAAAGAATGAGAATCATGCTAATAAATAATCCCAATAGAGAGCTACAGGGAATAAGCACCCAAGTGGGTAGTGTGTACAGAAAGAACATGGAGGGTGTTGAGTGTTTCATCTGATTTTGAGGGGGGTGTAGTCTTCTCCAAGGAGACTGTTTGAGGCAGCACATTCTAACCATGACAAAATGATATGTAAAGACATGAAGCCATGACATCATGACAGGTCTAGGGAATTGAACAGCAAATGGTTTTCTAAATGGGGAATGTCTAGTGTATATGAAGCCTCCAGGTGAGCCTGTAGAGGTAGAGGAGTCTGATTATGCCCAGGATCCTTGTACGTAATGCCAAAAAGTAGTACATAGTTATCAGGTACCACTGGTATGAAAGCAACATTGGAAAAATGAAACGTCTTTTTTCTCTAGCCTGCCACGGTCAGCCGCTGTGGCATGATTTATTTGGAACCCTCACAATTAGGGTGGGAACCACTTGTGTCTTCTTGGTTGAATTCCTTGAAAGGACCTCTACATGAGCCAGAATATCAAGCTCTTCTCCAAGGACTTTTTGATTGGTTAATACCGCCCTCTTTAAGACTTCGTAAAAAAAAATGCAAGGTAATCCTATAGTTTCCTGACCCACTCAAGTTTCTTTAGTTTATATTCAACTTACTAAGTTGTAAGTCATAATGTTATGGTAAATAACTAATATTAGTTTCTCCTTATACATTTCTATTCACCTTTGGTTTTATATTGATCCAATTACAGTGAAATAACCCTGAGGTAAAATTTATTCTAGCTAAGTTCTTTGGACAAAACCATAGTAAGTGAAGTTTGAAAAATGCCAATTATTTTCTATATTTTAAAAGTACTTTAAATACATGCCTTTAAAAAAATCAATTGTATATTTAATATTTTATGAGAAAACTTTACATATTCTATTAATTTCCTAGGGCTGTGGTAACAAATTACCTCAAACCTGGTGTCATAAAATAACAGAAATTTATTCTCTCACCGTTCTGGAGGCCAGAAGTTCTAAGTCAGGATGTTGGCAGGGCTGAGCTCCCTCTTAAGGCTCTAGGAGAGAACACTTTCTGCCTCTTCCAGCTGCTGGTGGCTCCAGGTGTTCCTGGGAATACGGCCACATAATTCCCATCTCTGCCTCCATCTTTATATGGCCTTCTCTGTGTGTCTCTCCATTATGTGTCTCCTATAAGGACATTTTTCAATGGATTAGGGCCTACTCACGTTATTCAAGACTGTCTCTGATAACTGTATCTCTCAAGACCCTTTTCCAGATAAAGTCACGTATACAGGTTCTAAGTACTAGGACTTGGACATATCTTTTTGAGAATCACTATTCAACTCACTACATATTTTTATTTAAATATGTAGCTTCTCTTGCCTTAACCATCTTTCCCTTCTTCACTCACATTTTTTTTTTTTTTTTCCAAATTCACCTTAGCTGTGACTTTCTCTGGGAAACCTTGATTATTTCTCCCCTTCTCCCTCTCTGAGTCTAGGCTAATTGTTTATCCAAAGTACCATGGTAGACTCTTCCTACTTCACACTGGGATTCCTCTGCCATATCATTATTATGCCAAATTATTTTTGTCTATTTAATTTCAATATCATTCTCTCTCAGAGATTGTGTCTTTTATATTCCCTACCTTGGAATATAGGTATAGTATCTTTATTATAAATGTTTGTTGAATAAATAAATGAATGAATGGCTATTAGAGATTTCATTTCCGTGTTGTTTATTCTCTTATAATAGCTAGTTTTCATTTTTCAAGGAGTTTTTAATAAGAATATGTTGTGTACAGTTATATAATATGCTAAATATTTGACAGATACTGTTTGTAAATCATTTTATTATGCCTATAATTTAAATTCTTTCACTATTAGAAAGATCTTATGAAAACCATGTATGCTTCTTACCAGTTTTATAAAATGAAGTATTTAATTCTTTTATTTTCCAAATAATATGAAAGTTAAGGAAAGTATCTTATTCTTTTTTTTACTTTGCAGGAACTGATTCCTACGAGTGACAGTAATGTGGTTGTCTCTCTCACACGCCTCTTTGAAGTACTACTCTGCCCTGTGGTAGAAAATGAACCTACCAGCAAGCACATTCGTATTTGGATTATGGTTGGTTTTATATTTAACGTGGTTTTTAATTACACAGTAAAATATGCATTTGGCAAGTGATACTTATATTGAGAAAGACATTACAAGATCTTACAAACAACAGCTGTTTTTTTCTGAGCACCAAAAGAATAGTTGAAGACATCATAGTTGTCCTGGCACTCTGGTAGGAGCTCTGGTGGTACAATGCCTAAGGCATTTGACTGCTAACCAGAAGGTTGGCAGTTCAGAATTGAGTTGATGGCAGTGGGTCTGGTTTTTTGGTTTGATACTCTGATATTAAAAAATACTTTAAAGAAAGTAAAATAGAACGAATCAAAATTACCCTATTATTTATAAAAGGTCATAATTTGGTAAATGCTTAAGAAGGTGAGCTTATATTAAGCCAATAAGGACTTAGTATGAGTTGGCTTCATCTTAATGTTAAGCCAGGGTATGGGGAATAACAAGTTGGCTATGAAGGACCAGAAGTAAGCATTCAACCAGCTAGATGGACTGTTTGTTGTACACAGAATCCACGAAGGACATAGGGAGAAGTCAGTAGTCACGGTTAGCTAATACCTGGAAGTTAGAGAAAGCCAGAAAACATGGCAGTAGGTGAGCAGACATTTTCAAAGACAAATCAAAGAAAAGAGGTTTTTTGTTTCCTTCCCTAGTTTATGCTACTTTTCTATCCACTCCCTTATTTTTAAGTTCTTTGACATCTCACCCCTATTCAGATTATCTTCTCATCTACTCTCTCCCATTGCTTTTTCTTCACTGTGCTGACACAGAAAATCTACTGCCCTAGACAGCTCATATTCCAGAGTTTCCTGCCAACCATACCATCTTTCCTCTTCCTTTTTCACCCTTATATCCCTAGATTTTAAAAGAAACCGAACAGACATATTACCTTTTTATTAAATAAAAGGTATTATTAGTTATTATTAGTTCACCTACACAACCTTCAAGGAGACCTGGTGGTGCCATGGTTAAGTGCTTGCCTGCCAACTGAAAGGTCAGCGCTTTGAATCCACCAGCCACTGCACAGAAGAAAAATGTGGCCATCTGCTTCTGTAACTGTTACAGCCTTGGAAATCCTTTAGGGCAGTTCTATTCTGCTCTGTAGGGTCACTATGAGCCGGAACCAACCCGACAGCAGCAGATTTGGTTTTTTTGTTTACATAACTTTTGATTCATATGTTTCCTGAACAGCTTCACTTTGTTGTTATATTTAAACTCCAAGCATTTTTGCTGTGTTTCAGAATCATTTTGAGAGACTTACATAGATTGACACTTGATTGAGAAATTTCTCTTTTAAAATATATTTGATAGATTTAGTTTTTGACTGGATAAGGTAAAAATCAAAAAGTAAAAATCAAAGAATTAAAAAGCAAAAGTAGATTTTCCATCCATCCCAGTCCCTCAGCCACCCAGTTACCCCTCTTGAGGCAACCACTATTATCAGTGCCTTATTTAGTTTTCTAGAAGTAGTTTATTAATACCCGAGAATATACTCTTTTGTATGTATATATATTTTTACACCTGTATTTGCATACTATATATACTGCTTTGTATCTTTTTATAATTTGTAATGTATTTTGAAGATTGCTCCATATCAGTACTTGTAGAGTTACCTTTTTTTTTTAACAGCTGCATGTATTCCAATGTATGTATCATAATCCAGTTAAACCCACTGCCATAGAGTCCATTTCAATTCTTAATGACTCTATAGAACAGAGAAGAACTCCCCATAGGGTGTAAATCTATGGAAGCAGACTGCCTCATCTTTCTCCCAAGCAGTGGCTGGTAGGTTCTAACCGCTGACCTTTTGGCCAGCAGCTGAATGCTTTAACTTCTGCACAACTGGAGCTCCTTATAGTACAATTAAGCAGTCCTCTATTGAAGAATATTTGGATTGCTTCTGATTTTTGCTATTACAAGATATCTTCTACATATATCATTTTCACAGGTGAGAATATTTTTGAGGATAAACTTCTAGAAGAGAAATTCCTAAGTATTTGGTATGGGCATTTTAAATTGTGATACACATTGCCAGAGAAATGACTCTTTATGTGAATTAGCTGTGTGCTCCATCCTGCTTTATTTATAAATTTCCAAGTAGGTTGATTAGGCCTTAACATAATTACTTTAAATTAAATTAAATTTTTCTTCTTCTTTTCTTTACAACACAGGCTTGCTTTATGTTCTCCTTGATTTGGTCTGTTGGGGGAAGTTGTGATACGGATGGCCGCCTTGTTTTTGATGCTTTCATAAGACTAGTCATCCTGGGAAAAGATGAAGAACACCCAGTGCCACAATCTGTGGGTAAATGGGAATGCTACTTTGATGAAAAAGGCCTGGTCTACGACTACACATATGAGGTATGACATAAAATTCAAAGCACAAAGACTTGGATCAGCAGACATATCTCCTGGGCTCCTGTCTTAGAGTGATTCTGACTCATCTGGTGAGCTTTTTAGTCCCCTTTCTTTAATTTCTCCTCCTATAACTGGTGAGAAGTATAGATAAGCATATCTATACTAAATATATATTTTTCATGGGTGTGACTTTCAGACTATTTTATAGTTTAAGATTTAAATTTATTCTCTCCATTTTATAAAACAATTCACAGAATATTTTTTTAAAACTGCAAATGATTGAATAATTGTTTGATTCATGTAAATTTTACTTCAAGAATCATAGTATCTGGAAAGGCTTTTTAGTAATAATTTTTACCTAAATCTCAAGTTTTACAGATAAAGAAACAAATGTAGAAATGTGAATGTCTAGCAGAGCCAGAACCTGAACCCAGCTCTTCAAAGTGCCAGTATAAGACTCTTTTCCCCAAACCATGCTATTAAAATTATATGAGTAAGAAGAGAATTTCATCTTAATTAGTCATAGTGGGAAATGAGTATTCTCTAAAACCGAAAACTCAGGAGGTAGTAATACAAGCATATTCATTAAGAATTGGAGGTAGATACCAACATAGTCAACTTGAGAAGGTAAAAATGGTTATCATTGGGGAGGGGAAAATGGAAATGAGGAATGCTGCTTTTCTTAACCTTGTAGAACTTTTGACTCCAAAATAGGTCCATATATAATAGGTCCATATAAAAGCTAAAACTTCAAAAAAGAGTATGAGTTGCTAAAGAAACAGTCACTCAAACTTACAAAATCAACACCACCAGACACATACATATTCAATTTTCTAGAAAATGGGAAGATTCTTATATGGCAGCCATAACATTCAGTAGGGTCCTAGACATGCTCTTCTTTGCCAGGTATTCACCCTCTTGTTGCTTGATAGTGGGAGGCTGTCTGGGGATCTTCAAGGAGAGGCCTAAATACCTGGGGAGGGGAGCATAGATTAATAGGGAGAAAGAGAGGCACTCAAAGTATCAGCAGCTATTTAACCACTGGTTCAGAAGAGTTTCAATATTATAACAACTAGTATAGTCATGCCAATATGTCTTAGCTGAATAGCAGCCTGGATCAAAATACCAAAAAGAATTACTTTAAAAGAACAAACTATAGTGAATTCATGTGATACTTTGCTTTTATTTTGAATATTGCCTATTTAGTTTAAAATATGAAAAATTTTAAAGCCAGAGACTGGCAAATTATAGCTCTAGCTACATCAGTTGTTGTTGTTAGGTGCCGTCAAGTCAGCTCCAACTCAGTGACCCTGTGTACAACATAACGAAGCACTGCCCAGTCCTGTGCCAGCCTCACAATTCTTGCTATACTTGAGCCCATCATTGCAGCTACTGTGTCAATCCATCTCATTGAGGGCTTCCCCTTTTTCATTGACACTATGCTTTACCAAGCATGATACCCTTCTCCATGGAATGGTCCCTTCTGACAACATGACCAAAGGAGATGAGATGAAGTCTGGTTATTCTTGCTTCCAAGGAGCATTCCAGCTGCACTTTTTCCAGGTTAGATTTGTTAGTTCTTCTGGCAGTCCATGGTGCTTTCAATATTCTTTGCCAACACCACAACTCAAAAGCATCAAGTCTTCTTCAGTCTTCCTTATTCATTGTCCATCTTTTACATCCATATAAGGCAATTGAAAATACCATGGATTGGGTTAGGCTTACCTTAGTCTTTAAAGTGACATCTTTGCTCTTCAGCTCTTGAAATAGGTCTTTTGCAGCAGATTTGCCCACTGCAATACATCATTCATACTGCAGACTGTAGTCTTTAATCTTCTTTAGTAAGTGCTTCGAGTCATCTTCAGTTTCAGCAAACAAGGTTGTGTCATCTGTGTATTGCAGGTTGTTAATGAATCTTCCTTCAATCCTGATGCCATGCTCTTCCTCATATAATCCAGCTTCTCAGATTATTTGCTCAGCATACAGATTGAATAAGTATGGTGAAAAAATATAACCCTGACACATTCCCTTCTTGATTTTAAACCATGCAGTATCCCCTTGTTCTATTCGGACAGCAGCCTCCTGGTCTATGTATGGGTTCCTCATGAGCACAATTAAGTGTTCTGGAATTCCCATTCTTCTAAGTGTTATCCATAATTTGTTATGATCCACACAATCAAATGCTTTTGCATAGTCAATAAAACACAAGTAAACTGTGTTAGAGTGGGTTCTCTAGAGTAATAAAAAATAGTAAAGCTTATATATATGTATATATATATATAGAAATTTGTCTTAGGAAAATAGCTCACACACTTATAGAAGCTGGCAAACCCAAAGTTCCTGGCTCAAACCTCAAGCTGGAGGCTTTTCCTGGCTCTTGCAACCACAGGGGCTGAGGAGCTCAATGCTGGCAGGCAGTACACTGGCTGTTGACTCCAACGAATGACGAATCCAAGATCTCCAGGCTGAATGGTGGACTGTTCACTCCAGGCAGCACAACAGAATCCCGATCCACAGAAGAATGTCTCTCTTCCCAGGATGTCCTTGGATCTACTGGAAGCAGGCCACACCCCTAGGGAAACTCCCTTTCAACAGATTGGCCACTCAGAACATAGTCATCTGATCCCATCATGGGAACAAACACACCACAACAGTTCAAACCACACAGAATTGTGGTCCGGCCAAGTTGACACACAGCTCCAAGTATTATAACATCTTTCTGGTATTCTTTGCTTTCAGCCAAGATCCATCTGACATCAGCAATAGTATCTCTCGTTCCTCATCCTCTTCTGAATCTAGTTTGCATTTCTGGCAGTTCTCTTGTCAGTAACTGCTGACCTGTTTTTGAATTATCTTCAGAATGATATTTTTCTTGCATCGATGTTAATGATATTATTTGATAATTTCCACATTCTATGAGTTTGTTGTAATATGGTAGCTTGTGTGTTGTTGTGAGGCTGGAGGCTATGCCACTGGTATTTCAAATACTGGTACGGTCACCCATGGTGGACATGTTTCACCAGAGCTTCCAGACTAAGACAGACTCAGAAGAAGGAAGGGGCCATCCACTTCTGAAAGAATTGACGAGTGAAAACCTTATGAATAGCTAAATCAGAGTGGCTTTCAAATAAAACTTGTTATATGCAGAATGACATCTTGTAGCATTTTGGAAGATTAGTGTGTGAATAGAACATAACAGCAAAATTATATAAATTTCTAGATATGTGTTGAATTTGTGATAACTAATTTTCATTAAGGTTATTGTTATAAAAATTAATTTAAAGAAAAATGTGTATTTCTTAAATTAGATAATGGATTCATGGGACCTTATTTTATTGATCTGCTTTATGACTTAAAAATGTTATACATCTTCTTTTATATGAATCCAATATTTCATAATTAAAAAGAAGTAAAGAATAAAGTTTTTAAAAGCAAATTGGATAACAAAGTAGGTGTTGAAAAGAACCTTTCAGATATAATGATTGCATGATTATAACATTTTAAAAACTATGTTCTTTTGTAGTTGAAAAACCGAGGTCGCTGGCTCCATTGGAATGAACTAATTAAAAGTACTAATTTAGGAGATAAATATACCAAGATTCAAGATATCATAGTCCCTACGATAGACACAATTAGATATACATTTCTAATGGATTTGAGCATTACCTATGCAAAGTAAGGAATTCTACTATAAATACTTATTCTAAATTTAACAGTGCCATTCTTACAGGACCATGGCAGTTTTTAGTTGGAATATTAGGTCTTCTACTCAAAGGTTTAGTGTACTTCTGAAATATTAGACTAACTGTGATGCACATTCTCCCATTATTTTTCAAATATGTCTGTCTATCCAGTTTGGATTCCACAACTCAAGATGAACATGAAAAACTCAGATATCAAGAGTACATCAAAAGGAGTACATAAAAATGATCAAAAGCTTAGACTGTACCATATCAATACCAATTTTCCAAACATTTTTGTAGTTAAGTTTCCTTAAAATAGTAGGTATAAATGTATCATTACTACTAGTCAAACTAGACAAATTTACGTAATATGAATGAATGTCAGAGTTTATTTGTTTTTGAGAAAAAACATGTTTCTGACTGAATTTTGTGATAATTTTATCTTGTTTAATTTTAAAACATACAGGAAAAATGATTTATAAGAAGTTATCCCAGTTTTGGACCTATAATTGCATTTCTTCATTTAGATGCTAATATTAAACACTTTCTTAGGCAACAGAAAGCAGGTGGCAATTCTGGAGAATTCCTAGTACAGGAGTGCTTTTGTACCATGAATACTTTGTCAGAATAATGCTTTTAAATGAGTAAATACAATAATAGGATTATAAAGGAAACAGTTTATATTATAATATATTTATTAAAATATTGAACAAATTTGGGCTATAGAAGTCATATATGTGCTTCTTTATTAACATATTAAATAATAAGTTCGACCAGTGAATCGGATGACTATCATAATTTTAAAGAAGCCATAGCATAAGTGATATTTTTGAGATATCTGTAACAAATGGAATGTTTAGGATGATACCTATGATTTCTATTGGTGACAAAGATACAGATACTGTTAATACAGTGGCTGCATTTTAGTTAGAGGATAGTGAAACTAAAGGTAGAACCTTTTGCTATCCAAGTTCACAGATTCCCTGAATTCTAGTTGACCCATGGTGCCAAGTTAAGAGCAGTATTTTGTTTATTAAAATTATTTTATTAAATAGCTTTTTATAAGGTGAGTGTTAGACTGGCACCCTTAGATAAATTCTCAGGGGCCACCTAGTTCCAAAATAATTTTGATTTTGTGTTTGTACTTCAATGATAATTTTAAAAATCAGTTATTAGCATAATTTGGGTCGCTTACATGACCCCTTATATTGGATACTGCTACTCAATTTCAGTGCCAGCCTTTGTTTTTGTGTTTATGTATCATGTGGTTATCACTCAAAGTGATAGTATTTTGTTTTTAGTACAGCTTTTCTCAAGCTGGGAATCCCCAGGTTTCTATGAACATAAATTCATATGGTTTGTTTTTTCCCCTTTCAAATTGGTTTTGATGACTCAAGGATGAGTGCCGCACTGAAAGGGGAATTCCTTAGAGCTTGCTTTTATAAGAATATTTTCACTTACCAACTTTGACTTGATTCTGAAGTGTTATTAACAGGAATACATAATTGTTAGCTTTAAAATTCACTGTCATTCTGTTTATCATAAAAACATTATGCTATCAAGATAATTGTGTAACAGCCTAAACCTATTATTGTTATTACCTTTTATTCTGTACTACACTGTCACCCCCATGTCTGTACCCCTAACTAAAAAGTACAAATGTATCACTTTTCTGAGGAGACATATTTTGGCTTCCTTTTCTGAAAAGTTATGCATGTTATTATTTTGTGTGTGGGTTTTTGTTTCTTTTCCTCAGATAGCAATGTTACATCTGTTCTAATAATAGTTTATTACTATTAAAACCTCTGCCGTAGTAAACAAAAATGTGTGCCAATTATTACTTTCACTGGTGTTTCATGAAATAACAATTATAGATAAAATTGTAGGTTTTTAGATGAAGATGATTTGATCATTATTTAAGTTTTCCACAAACTCCAATTTCCTTTAGTAGAAAGATATTGTAACTTTTCTAACTTTTTTCTGTTTTAAATGATATATTCATTGTTTTTATAAAGGCCACTGCTTTTTGTGGGTCCGACGGGTACAGGAAAATCAGTGTATGTGAAGGATAAGCTAATGAATCACTTGGAAAAGGACCTGTACTTTCCTTTTTATGTTAATTTCTCTGCAAGGACCAGTGCCAATCAGGTTCAGGTTAGTTTAAAACCAGAAACACAGGTCTATAATGATTAATTTTTCTTCATTTGATATGTTTAAAATTGTATATTAAATGAGAAGCTGTGTAAATTGTCTATGAATTTAAATAACTTAAAAAGCTTTACAAGCAAGTTTTAAAATTGTCAATGACAGTTTAGAGGACAATTTTTGCATTAATACTGAATTGAGTTTTGTTACCTTTTTTTTTTAACCCCAAGAAGGAACAGTTGATTTTTTTTCAACTGAGAAGGGTGTGTGTGTGTGTGTGTGTGTGTGAGAGAGAGAGAGAGAGACAGGCAGAGACAGAGACAGACAGAGAGAAAGGGAGACAGTAACGGGGTGGGGGGGAGAGTGCGAGAGCCAGAGAGAGCTCACGTTCCTAACTTTCAGTTCTTTCTAGACTACTACATGGTCCGTAGGGACATTTGCTGCTCATTGCAACTCTGTCAGTGAAAGATCTTCCAAACCATGGGCTATTAGTTTGGAATAGCCTTTGTGACTGTTGTTGTTGTTATATTACTTCGAGTCGGCCCTGACTCATAGCGACCTCTCCTTGGGTTTCCGAGGCAGTATCACCATGGAAGTAGATTGCCCAAACTTCCTTCTGAGGAGTGGCTGGTGGGTTTGAACCGCCAGCCTTCTGGTTAGCGGTCAAGTGCCTTAGGCACTATGCTACCAGAGCTCCCAGCCTTTGTGACAGAAACCATGAAACTGTGTTTCCCTTCTTCATCCCAAATGTGCCAAGGTTAAAGTACCGTATAAGGCCTTTTTTAATTGCCACTTTTATCATTCATTCCTAAATTTATAGCTGGCCATTCTCTCCTGGTCCGTGGACCTCATTTCTGTTGTTTTAAGCCTACAGAATGCTCTTAACTTAAAAATCTTATAGATTTAGAGCTTCTTTCCTATGGAGCTTTATATGAATGAAAACAATAATTTCTATATTCATTTGTGCAATTTACAGGGAGCTCTAAAAACATCAGAAATACAAAAAAGTACCCAATGTATGTCAGCTATTAAAAAATTGCTAAAAGTTGTAGAGATTATTGCTTTAAAATATTAAGTTAAAGTTAAAAGCTATGTTGTAATATCCAATGAGAACAATAGTTTTTTTAAAAAAATATATGTGCACTATATATTTAAGTGCAAATACACATATACATTATATATATATGAATGTAACAATTCTGAGAACATAGTAAGATTTCAATAAATGGTCTTTGAATGATGTTGAATATTAATTTCAGTAGTTTAGTATCACCCTAAATATGACATAAATATAAATAACTGTAGAAATACACATATAGTGCTACTTAGTCTTATTTCCTTACGTAACTAGACTGTTAATTTCATTTTTCCTGTTAAGTATGGCTTTTTATGTTGTGTCTGTCACTGATAAATTAAGTAAATAATAACTGTTATAGATAAAAATCCCATCGATTCTAAGCATAGGTCTTTCTTATTAGTATTGATTTCACAAAAGCAATGAAAATAATAAGTTCATAATTCATTTATAGATCAGTATACCACTCTTCTTTACATTTTAGAACATTATCATGGCTAGATTGGATAAAAGACGCAAAGGAGTTTTTGGACCACCTATGGGAAAGAAATGTATAATTTTTATAGATGATATGAATATGCCTGCATTGGAGAAATATGGAGCTCAGCCTCCTATTGAATTATTACGACAATTTTTTGACTGCGGAAATTGGTAACTATTTAATTGTAGTCTTAATAAGCTATCACGAAGTCATGTTTTTCTCTCGTTTTATATTTTAGTTTCTCAAAGCAAAATAATACATTTTTTTCAAGCTATTTTGGGAAGAAAATGGTTGCTCAAGTTTATCCTAGAGAAATCTTTGGAAGACTTTTCTGTATTTTTTATACCATTTTTTCTTCTTATTGTTGTGAGTTAGGCAAATGGGATGAATAATTCATAAACGTGTTTATTCAAATAATAAATTCTCTTTTTTTTCAACTATTATTGAAAATAATTTATAGATTATATCTTTCAAAGTACCATTCCCCGAGGACTGAGAATTGGTGGATAATCTCAACCTAAGTAACCATAATCAGCACCTTGTGCTTCTGCCACTTTTAACTCTACTTTTTCTGTGACTATTGGAACCACTATGTCTTTGGAATGGCTTGGTTTTGCCAGTCATTTCATAGATTACCCTTCTGCTCCATGCACTCCTGCTATGGTGACATAATCCGTTTCCAATACAAAAAAAAAAAAAAAATTGTATCTTTTATTTAGGATTAATAATTAGTCATTTCCTCCTCTTAAATGTAGTTTGCTATTCCCTGATACCATAATTTTTACCTCAAGGCAAGGGTAGATTAATTTGAAGCTAAGTCATTTTGGAGATATGCTTTTGTTATTATTGCCAGCCCTTGGAATCCTGCGTCGTGGAGATCACTGCTCCCTGTTCCTCCAGGTTTTTTCCTACATAAATACATGTTACATTTTACAAAACTAGGATCATATTACACGAATTGTTTTGCAACTTATTTTCACTTAAATGTTTATCTTAAACGTGTCCATATCAGTGCATATTTGTCTATCTCAGTCATTTTATTGGTACTTAATATTACTTAGTTTTATGAATCTTACCATCATTTACTTAGTCACTGATTGTCATTAGGGTTTTTTTTTTTTTTTCTTCCAGAAAAGTAAATTATATTTACATACTTCCCTATTGTATCTTTGATTAAGAACTGGCTATGTAGATTCCACCCCCTCTCGCCCTAAGAACTTCAATAATGGCCTATTGGAAACAGTCACCTTTTCACTGGGAATGGTTCTAACTAAATTGTGCCACTCAGATACCTCTTTCTGATTAAAACTTCTTTGAGTCTTTATTATTGCCTTTCTTTGTAACAAAAGTACAATGTAGATATCCTTATGGACTCTGAAGATAAAGTTTGAGATGAAGAAAAGAAAACAGGACTTTGCTGTAACTAGAGTGACTATATAATTTATTGTTAAAGCGGGCAGATCTGAGATGAAAAGATGATATTATTGATAATTACTCCAGGACAGCAAGCTCAAATAAGAATTATCCTAGGCAAAATGGGGCATATGGTCACCCAACCTCTAATAAGTAACAGAAAGGATTGGTCACTCTTCTAAGCTTCTGGATTTGAAGTAAGGAAGAGTAAAGAATGAGATTGGAAGGAAGAGTAAAAGAAAGGGCAACAGGAAGAGACAGCCTAGATACCCAGAATCTGGGCAAAAGGAAAGGAAGGAGAAATAGAGTGTAGCTTTGGAAAAAAAAAAGTCTACTCCAAGCATTATTTCATTTAAGGAAGATAAAATAAGATTAAGTTTCTAGGGAGATCTATATTTCCTTACATCTTACTGGCTTTATCACTGATTATTTTCAAATTTTTGTATATCAAGGTATGACCTTAAGGATACAAGTAAAATCACATTGGTTGATATTGAACTGATTGCAGCTATGGGCCCTCCAGGTGGTGGAAGAAATCCAGTCACTCCCCGTTTTATTAGACATTTCAACATCTGCACTATTAATACTTTCAGTGATGAAACTATGGTCCGTATATTCTCATCAGTTGTAGCATTCTACCTGAGAACTCGTGAATTTTTTCCAGAGTACTTTTTAATTGGAAACCAAATTGTCAGTGGGACAATGGAGGTGAGCAAATGATGCTGTAGAAAATGTTTTAGCATTTTGTATTACCCTAATTTGTTCCTTATTATTATTATTGTCTTATAAGCATTATTTCCCTCAGACCTCTACTTGGGTCTTCAGTAGCACAGAAGCTGTTGAGAAGGCTTGAAGACCATGTCCATAGGTTTTGAAATTAGGGAGTGTAACTGGGATTGAGTGCTGACTGCTATTTCCCAACTATATGACCATGAGCAAGTAATTTGACCTTCCAGTGGCTCAGTTTCTTAGTTACTAAAATAGGAAATAGTACTTATTTCACAAGGTGGTTATGAGGGAGTCATCCAGAACATGATCTGCCACATCTTAGGTGGTTCCCTAATCATTAGGTTCCTGTTGTTATTGTTAATTGCCCTGGCTATGCCCTGTGCACAGAGTACAACTATACTTCCCAGTCTTTTTAAGGTTTTGGCCTTTCGGGAAGCAGATCACCAGGCCTGTCTTCTTAGGAGCCTGTGGGTGGCTTCAGATAGTCAGCCTTTAGGTTAATAGTCAAGTCCTTAACCATTTGAACCCCAAGGAGCACCTTGTTAGATGCTCTGCTGTTTATTTTCCTCTCTTCCTTTTCGTCATGTTTATTTAAAAAAAGCCAAAAAAAAAAACTAACTAAAACTTTACCAGCTTATGAATATCTTACTTATTAGTCAGGTCACATAACTTAGGAGAGTCAGTGAAAGAAAAAATAATAAAGGAAAATAAATTAATAAAAGAAAAATACGGAAATACAAGGGTAAAAACAGAAAACAAGACTATCAGCGTGGCCAAAGAACAACGCTTACTTACTCAGGTTGCTTCTGCACAGAAGCTGGAGCCAGCCTTGTTGCTAATTTAATAGGGTGGTTGGGGATGTATTTAAAGATAAAACACTAAAATGCACTGCTGTTGAGTTGTTTTCCAACTCATAGTGAGCCCTCCTTGGGTTTCCAAGGCAGTATCACTACGGAAGTAGATTGCCCAGTCTTCCTTCCGAGGAGTGCCTGGTGGGTTTGAATGCCAGCCTTCTGGTTAGCAGTCAAATGCTTTAGGCACTACACCACCAGAGCTCCCATTTAAAAGTAAATCAGTGATAATCTCATTGAACTAAGTTTTCTGGACACTTGATAAAGTGAAGTTCACTTCTGGATACAAAAAGCCCCTTGGAATCATTCCATCAGTTTTCAAGAATATCTTCCTTTTCTAAAGTTCTTCCTCCCTTGTTTTAGTGCAAAATGTGTACTGTTAATAATAAAGATACTGTGAGCAAAGAAGTAGTACATTATGATTACTGTATTTATTCTGATGGAGAGAAAAGCTTCTATTTATAAAATATATTTATTTCAACCATCTCTTGGAAAGAAGGGAGGGTAGAGTTGGTCAGGTAGAGTGGGATGCAGAAAGGATCCTTTTTTCTTTTTGTTTCAAGCATTATAGACCCACTGTGTGTAGAGGTTGGGGGGAGGGATGAATCACAAAATACATACAAATAAAACATAATTTAATTTTTTTCCTTCATGTTACATTATGAAAGATAATATAAGGAATTTATAAAACTTCATTTGGTGAATTCAGCATATAGTAAAAATATACTTCATTTACATATTATAGCCAATTAAGATGGAAAGAGGGTGAAGAAGATAAGAGAGGGAAGGGAAGAGAGAAAATGTATTGGTTTGTTTTGAAGTCAACAGTAGTCAAGAAGCAATTGGATACTTTCACCTCTTCTTTTGGAATACTTCAGAATGAGTTATAGTCATCCCTCGGTATCCATGGAGGATTGCTTCCAGGACGCTCACCGATACTGAAACCAGCAGATATTCAAGTCCCTTATATAAAATGGCCTAGTATTTGCATATAAGCTACATATACCAAAAAACCAAACCAAACCCACTGCCATCAAGTCGATTCTGACTGATAGCAAACCCCATTGGGTATCTGAGGCAGTAAATCTTCACAGAAGTAGATTGCCCAGTCTTCTTTCCTCAGAGTGGCTGGTGGGTTTGAACTGCCAACCTTCTGGTAAGCACTCAAATGCCTTAGGCACTGTGCCACCAGAGCTCCTTAACTTACACATATCCTCCCATAAACTTTAAATCACCTCTATGTTTAGTGGGAGCTCTGGTGGTGTAGTGCCTAAGACATTTGACTGCTAACTAGAAGGCTGGCAGTTCAAACCCACCAGCCACTCCTCAGAAGGAAGGTTGGACAATCTATTTCCATAGTGCTACTGCCTCAGGAACCTAAGGAGGGGTCACTATGAGTCGGATCCAACTCCATGGCATTGGTTGCGTGTTTTTGTTTGCTAGGTTTAGTTTACCTAATGCAAGTAAATGCTGTGTAAATAGCACTTTATGCTCCCTCTTAGCCACTTACTTTTTCTCCCCCTGAAATATTTTCAATCTGGCTGAATCTGTGGATATGGATCCCCAAGATATAGAGGGTTGACTGTATACGATTTCATTTTCTGCTGAAGTTTTTAACTGCTTCTTCTAAATGGAACAGTCACAATTACTGTGAGATAAAAAGTATTGTCACTTCTTGGGCTTGGATAGAATCAGATAATGTAAGTTCCCTCAGCTTCATAAAGCCTGGTTAAGTGCTATAAACAAAAATAAACAGATACATGTCATGCTAGACTTGGTGCTATACAATTTTCCATGACAATATAATCTAATTGTAAATAAAATATTTTATATAATATAAAATTTGTCATATGGCTTTGCTGATTGTAAGCATTTCATTTTTGCTTTGTTCCTTTTTTCATATTCAGATATATAAACAATCAATGGATAATCTCTTGCCCACTCCCACCAAATCTCATTATACTTTCAACTTGCGTGATTTTTCGCGTGTCATTCGGGGCTGCCTACTCATTGAAAAAGATGCTGTGGAGAACAAGCACACTATGATCCGTCTGTTTGTGCATGAGGTTCTCCGAGTGTTTTATGATCGTCTCATTAACGATGATGATAGAAGCTGGCTATTCAAATTAACCAAAACTGTTGTAAAGGACCATTTTAAAGAATCATTTGATGCTATCTTTTCACATTTGAGAAAAGGGAATGCACCAGTAAGTATTTTTAATGATTAAAAAAATGTCAAAGCAGTACAATAACCTTCAAACCAATTAACTTACCTTTTATAAAATATTATTGCTACTTAATGATCAGATTCTTTTAAAATACTTCATAGATTCATATTTATTTGAGAAAATTTGCCTTCAGAAGAAATTATTTATGTAATACAGAATTTATTTAAATAATAAAACCATACATGTTAGGGAATTAAGTGATATAATGGATATAAAATGTTTGACATGGTGACCTCCCGTGGTAACAACTCAATAAATGCAATTTACCCATAGTGACTTCTGTCTCTGACAAAAAAACCAAATTTATAGGATAGGAAAAAAGCTCATACTTCAAAAAAAAATCTCTGAGGATGTAATATAATTTCAGGTATTAATTTTGCAAATATATTGTTTACTATCCTAGTATTCAAAGAATTATTTAATTGATAATCAGGTCATTAAACCTTTTAGTAACTTTATTCCCATAACATGGATGATACAAAATTTTTTATAACATTTTCTTAAATTTATTTTGGAAAACGTTTTAAGTTTTGTAATTTGCTGATTTCCATGTTATAGGTGACTGAGGAAGACCTGAGAAATCTCATGTTTGGTGACTACATGAATCCTGACCTTGAGGGAGATGACAGAGTCTATGTTGAAATTCCAGACATTCATCAGTTTTATGACATCGTGGACCAATGCTTGGATGAATATAATCAAACTCACAAAACAAGAATGAATCTTGTCATTTTTAGGTACCTGCGTTTGATATTGATGCTTGAAATTGCTATTTGTAACATTTTATTATGAAATATTTAAAACACAAAAAGAAATGAAGAAAAATACAATTAATATAGTTGTACCTTTAGGATTTTCAAGCTTTGTAGATTTTGTTAGTCTAAAGTATTTCATTGTGGTTTTAGTTGAAATTTCACTAATTACTAGCAAGGCAGAATGTCTTTCCTAAATTTTTTATTTTGTAGATAAAATTCATTTTCTATTTTTCTTGTAGGAATCCTATTAAATTAAGGAAATATATTAATAAAAGTACTATTATATTATTAGTACAAGCAGTTAAGATCTCATTTTATTTATATAAATTATGTATACATTTCCTGAATTTATGCTTTTAATTACTTTTCCTTTTCATAAAATGATCCAATAGTAATTGCTTTTCAAAAAATCATACTTTTTTACCGTCAGCTTTTTAAGACTAGGGGAGTAACATATTAGACAGTAGCTATGTATACATTCCATGTATATCGTCGTGGGTAATAGATTGTTATTTCATGGTAGGTATGTATTGGAACACTTATCACGAATATGTCGAATTCTGAAGCAATCTGGTGGAAATGCTTTACTTGTTGGCTTTGGAGGAAGTGGTCGTCAATCTTTAACTCGCTTGGCTACATCCATGGCAAAAATGCAGATTTTCCAACCAGAAATTTCTAAGAGTTATGGTATGAATGAGTGGAGAGAGGATTTGAAGGTAAAATTATAAAGAAACCCAGTGTCTAAAAAGATCTCAGTACGTTCTTTTATATGTGAAGGTTGAGCTGTTTTATGTAGCTGTATACTGACTGAATACATTGGTGGTGATGATAATGATAATGCTATCCATAGATCACCTACTGTCCTAAGTGCTTTACAAACATGATCTCATTTTATATGTATAACAATTCAATGTAGCACGTTTGGTTGTCTTTGTGTTTTACTGATGAGAACATGAGGCTGAAGGAAGTTATACACAGCAGAGCAAAGATTTTAAACTCACTTCTTATTCACTACATCATTACAACTGAAGCTGCTGATTCTATCTTTATTCTAGTTCAAAAACCAAAAACACATTGCCGTCAAGTCAATTTGGACTCAAAGGGACCCTATAGGACAGAGTAGAACTGCCTCATAGGGTTTCCAAATCTGTAAATATTTACAACAGCAGAGTGCCTCATCTTTTTCTTGCAGAGTGGCTGGTGGGTTTGACCCACCAACCTTTCAGTTAGCCTCTGAGTACTTTAACCACTGCACCATGAGGACTCCTATATTCTGGTTCAGGAAGTCTTGTTTCCTATAAATGTATGTTTTCCTGCAGACTGCTGAATGTGAACCTCATTATGATGTGAAGATGGTGGTGTCGTTAATGTTCAGTCTTAGTGATTTCAGAGCTGTGTTGCTTTCCCAGTAATCAATAAAATAATTGAGTGCATATTTGGGGCTTTATCCTCCTATGCCCAGGGGCTCTGTAGACCCCCAAAGAGAGATGATCCACAATGATAAAAGAAGGGAGACATGATATTGTACTTTTTTTACTTTCATGGACCCTCTTATCCTAAATTTCCACATCCTAAAAATTAGCATAGAGAAATGGGCTTTTCTTTGTCACTTGCAATTAGGAGTGGTAGAATCCAAAGTTACAGCAGAGAGGTCTACATAGACATAAGAAGAAAAGCTACATTTATGTTTTTTTTTTTTTTAAATTTCTGCTCAGACTTCAGAGGAAAAATTTTGATGCATACCAAATGAGATAATAGAAAACCATTTACTGTAGTAGAAAGAACATGAATTTCAAAGTCAGATTCAGTATTAATTCCTGTTTTGCACGACTTTTTAACTATGTTTTATTGGGCATATTATGAAACCTTTCTGTATTTAATTTCTTCATTTATAAAATTTGGATAAAACTACTCATTTTGCAGATTATTGTGATTAAATTATATCATATATGAAAGGTTCTTGGCAAGGTGCCTGGCATGTAATTAGTATTTTGAAAAATGTTAGTTCTTTTTTCTTTTCTATTTGGAAACAGCTTCACACATTGTATGTTTGCCTATTACTTTGAAATGTAGTGGTGCTTATGGCAATAAGTTAAATCTGCTTATTAATATTGTATTTTCTACTTATTTGGTATAATATTAATAATTATAAAGATGATCTGATATGATAGTTCTTTAAAAACTAGCATTTACTTTTGGTAATAAAAAAATTATCTCTAGGAACAAAATAGCCTACATATTGGAAGATGGCATTAATGTAAAAAAAACATAGTTTTGTACAATATAAAAATTCAGCATTTATACAATAATTATTTAAAATATATGATTTTATAATAGAAATAGAAGTTTATTTTAAAATCTCACTTGCAGAAGCTGAAATGCTCTTTTCACTATGAGCTATGTTGTTGTTGTTTTTATGTGCCATCGAGTCAGACCCAACTCATAGTGACCCCTCCTTGGGTTTCCAAGGCAGTATCACTATGGAAGTAGATTGCCCCATCTTCCTTCCAAGGAGCGGCTGGTGGGTTTGTGGTATAGTGGCAAATGTTTAACAAGCAGCTCTAATGGAAGAGGAATGAGAGAGAAGCCCTTATTTGTAGCATTTGCAAAGATCCATGGTATAAATAGTCCTAACATGGCTGATTTAAAGCTACCAACATGATGTCACTGAAAACAGAGTTAGGAAGAGAGGTGCATTAGAGCACCATTAGATCTTACATTTAAGAACTATTATAGCTAATCATGACAGTTTTATAGTTATTAATATATCAAAATAAGTAGAAAATATACTATTACTAAAATACATTGTACTGTATTTTGCTCTATAGATAAGGTAGACTTAAATAACCTCCAGAGCATAGATAATAGCAAGCATAATAAGATAATTGATAGTGATAGTTTAGGTATGTGTTACCTTTGTTTTTAAATATAGTTTAACCATCTATTCATTAGTTCCTGAAATTTTAGCATTGGTTCTAGCAAGCCTAGAAAGGCCAGTACCAGCATATCACTGAGTCCATAACTTTACACTAGTTGGGACTCTGGTTGCAACTGACCAAAAGCCAGATCAAACTGCTTTAAACAAAAGAGAAAGATACTGGCTTGCATGACTGAAGGGTCCAAAGGTATATAGGCTTTTATTTTTATGGTTTGTTTAAGATACAGCATTTTTATTGAGTTTCCTTTGTATGTTGTAATTCACTTCAAATTCAACATAATTTTTTAAAAAATGTGTGGTTTGGGTGAAAGTTTATAGAGCAAATTTGTTTCCCATTCAATAATTTATACACATTTTGTTTTGTGACATTGGTTGCAATCCCCTCAGTGTAATAGCACTCTTCCCACTTCCTCCTGGGGTTGTCCATTTGCATTCTTCCATCTTTGGTGCCCCTTCTTGCTTTCTCAACTTTGTTTTTTTGGCAAAGGCTGCCCTTTTGGTCTCCTATGGTTGATTGTTCTGAGGAGTAAGTTCTCCCTGGTGTTATTGTTCACTGTGTAGGCCTACCTGTTATTTGGCTGAAAGATGATCCCCAGGGTGGGGTTCAGTTCCAGGTTGGAAGAATGACTAGGGACCATCGTTCTGAGGGCTCTACCAGTCCCTATCAGACCAGTAAGTCTGGTCTTTTTTATGATTTTGAATTTTGTTCTACATTTTTCTTTCACTCTGTCTAGGACCTTCTAGTGTCGTTCAGATCAGAGCAGTCGGTAGATAGCCAGGCACAATTTAGTTCTGGTTTCAGGCTAGTCAAGGTTGTAGTTTGCATTGTCCATTAGTCCTTTGGACTAATTGTTTCCTTGAGTCTTTGATTTTCTCCACTCTTCTTTCTTTACTTTCTTCATTCCCTTTCCAGAGAGGAAGAGACCAACAGTTGAATCTTAGAGGGCCACTCACAAGCTTTTAAGACCTCAGTCACTACTCACCAAACTAGGATGTAAAACATTGTCTTTGTGTACTGTGGTGCCAACTGACTTAGATATCTCTCAAGACTGTGGTCCCAAGCTCCCAAACCCAGTGTCTTAGTCCCCAAGGTTTTTGATTATGGCTAAGAAGTTTTTATAACTTTGCTCCCTGTATGCTCTACTATGTATATAAATCTATTTGTAGCACATGCAAACATGTATGCAGAAATATCCTCTGTCAAACCTAAATATACTTTTGGGTATAGTTCCACACACCGTCTCACACCTGTTCAGCTTGCATATCTCCCTATGTCTATTATTGTTCAATACTACTGTTTTTGCAGGATTGTGTATGTAGTAGTATTTGCCATTGTTGCCTTTCACTCTTGTGTACCTCACCATCTTCCTTTGCCTCGATCATGTTGTGCTCATCTCCTCCTTGTTGTATATTGTCTTTCCCTTCACCCAAGTTAATACGTGTCTACTCCCTAGTTAGTGATTTTCACTTTCTTCTCCTTCCCATCCCTGATAACCATCAAAGAATGTTTCTTTATGTGTGTAAACCTTTTATTGACTTTTTATATTAGTGGTCTCATAAAAATATTTGTCCTTTTGTGATTGACTTATTTCACTCAGCATAATGTCCTTCAGGTTTATCCATGTTGTTAGATGTGTTATGGATTCATCGTTATTCTTTATAATTGCATACATTGTTTGTATGTATCAGTTTGTTACCTATTCTTCTGTTGATGGACACTTAAGTTCTTTACATATTTTTCTATTGTGCTGTAATGAACATGGGTTTACATACATCTGTTCATGTCATAGCTCTTATTTCTCTAGGATGGATACTTACTAGTGGTATCGCTGGATCATATGGTATCTCTACTTCCAACTTTTTAAAGGAAGCATCATACCATCTTCCACAGTAGTTGTACCATTTAAGTCCCACCAGCAGTGTATGAGAGTTCTGGTCTTTCTACACCCTCATCAATATTTGTTGTTTTTTTGGTCATTACTATTGTTGCTGGGGTAAGATGATATCTCATTGTTGTTTTGATTTACATCTCTCTAATTTTCTTCAAGTATGTGTTAGCCCCCTGAATGTTTTCTTTAGTGAAGTTTCTGTTTGCCCATTTTTTAATTAGTTTGTTTGTCTTTTTGTTGTTGCAATATTGAAGTTTTCCATAAATTTGAGAGATTACTTCCTTGTCAGATAGGTGGTTGCCAAATTTTTTTTCCCAGTCTGTAGGTTCTCTTTTTACTCTCTTAGAGAAGTCTTATGATACACTTACGTGTTTAATTTTTAGGAGGTCCCAGTCATCTAGTTTCTCTACTGCTGTTTGTGTATTTTTTAGTTATGTTTGACTATTTGTGTCATAAATTAGGGGCCCTAAGTTTGCCCCTATTTTTTTTTCTTCCAGGATCTTTATAGTTTTAGGTTTTAATTTAGATCTTTGATCTACCTTGAGTTAGTTTTTGTATATGGTGTGAGGTATGGATCCTGTTTCATTTTTCTGCAAATGGATATCTAATTTTTCTAGCACCATTTGCTAAAGCTTTTATCTCTTCCCTGTTTAACAGATTTGAGACCTTTCTCAAAGATCAGCTGTCTATAGATGATGGAGGTACATAGGCTTTTGACAAGCTAAATTTAGGGGCTCAAATTATGTCCTCAGTAGTTGTTCTTTATATCTCTTGGTTCTGCTCTCCTCTATTTGGCCTCCATCATAGGCAGCCTCTTTCTATGAGGCAACACAGATGGTCCCTAGAAGTTCTATATTACTGGCTTTTATATCCTCCATTTAAGAAGGACAGGGATCTTTTTGTTTTCAGGTCCATCTCAGTACCTGAAATAAGGCTTGCCTTCTCTGAGTCAATGATTGTGCCTAAGAGCTTGGGGTAGGAGCCCTGGTGGCTCAGTGATTAAGTGCTCAGCTGGTAACTGAAAGGTCAATGGTTCAAACCCACCAGCTGCTCCATGGAAGAAAGATGAGGCAGTGTGCTTCCATAAAGATTATAGCCCTACATGGTTCAATCATGTTAAGATTAGCCAATGGTTGATTTCCTATATTTCTCTCTCCTTTTCTTTTTATAAGCCCCATTGTACATAGCTTCTTTGAGCCATTTGCTTTTTCTGGAATCAAAATATATTGCATATATATTAACTGCTCAGAATAAACCCTATGCTCAAAAAAAAAAAATTATAGCCTTAGAAACCCTATGGAGTATTTCCACTCTCAGGATATATAGGGTCGCTATGAATTGGAAACAACTCAATAGCCATGAGTTTTGGTAAGGGATCAGGGAACTCTGAGCAGTTTGCTTTGTGTTCTCACGCAAGGGGTGGGAGAGATGACAGCATACCCAGATTGATAGCATACCAGGAATGGAGAGAGTTACTGTCCTAAAATCAAAGTACTGTTAACAAAAGTGATGGGGAAGGAAAGTAAAAATAGCAGATTTCTACCACATTCTGCTTATATGTGCATTTTAATTTTTAAGGTTCTGTTGAGGAATGCAGGCATGAAAGGCCAGAAGACAGTCTTTCTAATCACGGACACTCAGATTAAAGAGGAAGCTTTTCTAGAGGATATTGACAGTGTGCTCAATACTGGAGAAGTGCCAAACATTTTTGCAGCAGATGAAAAGCAAGAAGTGATGGAGGTAAATGCTTTTTAGGTAATGCTACTTGCAGCACAGGAATTTTCTGATCTTAAAACTTTTCCTGTGTTCTTCAGGATAAATATAGCTTGTGGAGAGGAATTTCATACTTAAAAATTTAAGTATTTTAATGAATCATTGTTTAGTGAATTTTAAACTGTTTCTTCCATAGCCAATGACATCACTAGGCTTGATGTCACCCAGGGCAGTAACTCATGGTATGACACCTCACACCCCATGGACTTTCTTCAGTTCCAGACCACATAGAATCCTTAGTAATGCTTATTGTCAGTTTTAACCATAAAATAATAAGTGATAAACATCATTGTAAATTGCTTAAATACTGTGTTTCTTGGATTATATAAATATTAACATCAAAATTGTTTTGTAAAATCTTTCTGCATCAAATTACATTATTAGTAACTGAGCCGAAGCCTTTTTTTAAAATATTTTCTCCTTCTTTTCTTGTAATTACTACTTCATTCTCAAAAAAGCTATTGATATAGGTTGCAAATACTAATTACCACAATATAGTAGCTAAAACACCAGAAAATTTGACAAAATCACAGACTGTGAAAACACCAGTACTAACAAAAACAACTGTGCATACTTGTAGCGAGTGCAGACAAAACCATGTGATTTGAGCTGTCATTGTAATTGGTAATCGTGACAGCTCTGCAGGAAGGCATTAGAAGCTTCAAAAAGTAAATCAGCGTAGAGTTGTAGCCTTGTAGGTATATTGATACATGTAAACTGGGCTTACAAAAAATGTTTTTGTTGTTATAATTAACTACAGGGATATTTTAATAAAAAATAATACATTTCTGATGGAACACTGCACAGAAATGTTATAGACAGTCATGTTATTGTCATTTTCTCTGACAGTGCCATCCAGTATGGTCCACACCCCCTCCATCCCTGTAGTGACACCACTCTCCATAGCAATGAAACAGCATTTTTGTTTTTTAATTTCTTTCTTTGTAATGTTGGCAGTTTGTTTCACCTGTTTGATTTCATTTAGCATGTTCTTTAGATGATTTAGGATTTAAAAATCATGTCTTAGGGCTGCACTGGTTTGAGAGAACATAGAATTTCAACTTACTTGATTAACGTTTATGTTTTGCCACTGGTTAGTTGTTGTTCTTGTTGTTATGTGCTGTAAGTCTTTAAACAGCCTTTATTAAATTTACTTATCTTCCAGTTCTGATACTGGATGATACAAGCCATACTTTGTGATTTAATTAACAAAGAATATAACTGTGAAGGGGCCACCACTGTCAGATGTCCTGTCCTTCAACTCTCACTTCTAGGACCTTCCCACACAAGATCTCTGGTAGTTATTTTCCTTCATGTTCACTACCATAACAACTCTTACTCACAATATATCACTCATGCCTGGATGCTTCATTCTCAGCCTACGCCGATAGCTCTGATACAAAATGGATTCACCCTGGTAGTTCAAGCATCTCATTTTTCTGTGTAATAGGAGCACAGATAATAGTTCTTCCTGCATGCGTTTGCTGTGGTGTACATGTGTCGAGTGAAAGAAACCACTTAAGTAGTGTCTGTCACTTAGGAAAAACCAAAAAATCCAAACTCACTGCTGTTGAGTCAATTTTGACTCATAGTGACCCTTCCTTGAGTTGCTGAGGTGGTATCACTATGGAAATAGATTGTCCAATCTTCCTTCTGAGGAGTGGCTGGTAGGTTTGAACCACTAGCCTTCTGGTTAGCAGTCAAATGCCTTAGGCACTATACCACCAGAGCTCCTGCCACTTAGGAAGCCCTCAGTAAATGGCACCTTGCTAGTTCATTATCTGAGGTGGAGGAGAAGGGGGGGGGAAGGAAAAACCCAACTTCTCTGCTTTTATGTGGGAGATAGAGAGGATGTGGCCAACACTGCTGAAGAATAGCAATTTCTTTTAATTCATAGACATCCCCCACACTGCCCCCCAAGCAGCTCTCCACTTTGGAAATGGGATTTCCTAAACTGTTTTGGTCATTTTAACTATTGTCTGTCACTCTACCACTACACTTTTCCATGGCTTCACTACCTCTTTTTTTATGGTGTGATCCCACAGTGGCCTAAAGGCTTTCTTTCCTTAGTGGGAGTATCAGTATATACACAAGAAAATAGCCATGGTCAGAACTCAGGGGCACTGCAATGTATCCCTGTTTCTGCTTATTTTATGCTGATTTTTAAGAAATAAAAAAGGTATTATGAATAAAAATTCTACTGCTTCCTTTCCATACGCAGTGCACCAGCCTTTGCATTCCACTTTGGAGACCACTTCCCTGGTTGCCTTAATTCATGCCTCTGATAAATATTTTACTTTAAACATCATTCCTCATAACCTCATGGCTTGGCCCTGGCACTGCCCAGAGGGCACCTTTTTAGACACAACACATTTCTCTGACTTCACCATCAGTTCTAGCCTTAGAGCTCCATTTCTATACAACTTTTTCTACTGTTCCATTTGTACTCCTTACAGAATTAAACAGCTGGAATTTCTTTCTCAGATGTAGCATTGACTTCTTATTTTCCACATTTGGTGATCTTTTTTCAGTTCATTTTATTTTTTAATTCATGTTCATGTCTGGGTAATACATCTTTCCTTCCTTTTAAACTCTGCCTTCCCTTCTCTGCCATGAAATTACACTGAGTTTGTTTGCTGTTTCTCTAATTTAGTAACTTCTCCATGTTCTTTCATCCCAGAACCCTGCTCCTAAAGTATGCATGTACACATATACACACACGCACAATTACTCTCTCCCACAGGGAGCTCATCTACTCTAAAAGGTTCAACTATTATTTTTATGTGAATAACTCTTATATTTATATCAGCATCCTGACCCTTTGCTGAAATCCTGTTTTATAGTTGCAACTATTTTTTGGCTTTATCAATTTGAATATCCCATTATTGACTCAAAGTTAATACTGTTTGAAGCTAATTTCATAGGCTGACATTGATTATAATAATCATAACTTGAAAAGTCCTATAAATAGTCTGTTTCCAATTTTCTATGAATAGAGCTGTCATATAATGGAAAGCATAGAAGAAATTCTCTTAGAAGCACATTCATTGTAGTAGCAACTGAAATGATGATCATCATGACCACTCCCTGTATTTACTATTTGAAACATTTAAAATCTATTTATAAGATAATTTATTGGCTATGAAGGCTTTTATGTTCTGGGTAAGGAGAAAGGTAAGCTATAAAATAAAAGGTAATCAGTACTCAACAGTCACCTATGTGGCACGAAGTATTTTAAATGTTCATATGAATAACTCATTTCATCATCAGCAACCCTCTGATGTGTAGGTACTCTTTTGCCCATTTTACATTTACATAGAATTTGAGGAAGCTAAATTACAGAAAGTTTAAGTAACTTTGCACCAAGGCCACCCAGGTAGTAAGTGGCAAGGAGGGATTTGAACTCAAGATGTTTGTTTCCCAAATACATAAAAATCTTTTCCACAGCCTACATTGGTGACTAGTGACTAGGGTCTTAAAAAGCTTTCAAGTGGCTGTCTAAGATGCAGCTAATGGTTTCCTATTGTCAGAAGCGAAGAAGAGTGTGAAAGAAACCAAAAGCATTTGGAAGCAATCAACCCTAGGACATGATGGCCCTTGAGACTAGAAGAACTAGATGGTGCCTGGCTACCAATGCCAACCACTCGGGAAAGGATCAAAACTGGAGATCCTGGATAGAGTGGAAGGAAAATCATGGAACTAATCCAAAAACACAATAATGACTAGAATTACTGGTCAGATGGACTCTGGTGAGACCCCCAATTCTATGGCCCTGGGATACACTTCAGGCCTGGAATAAAACTCACTCCCAGGGCCTGGCTCTCAACTCAATAATAAATAAGATGTACACGCAGACTGCTCAACCCAGGATGACTCACCCACATACTCTATGGAGATGCATCCCTTGGAGCAGTCGACCACAGGGCACCAGTGGGGCAACATTGACACAAAGGAAATACAGGACACACAGCAGTAGATAACTATGAGGGGCATGTGGGGTGGTGACTGGGAAGGGAGGGGAGGAGAGTGTGTTAGGATTGGGGATGGTAATTGAGGAGTGAAACCAAATGTACATGAAATGTTGAATGTAAAACAAACTCTGCTCTGTAAACTTGCACCTAAAGCACAGTTTAAAAAAAAAAAGTTTTATTTCCCAAGTCGTTGATATAGATGCCTTTCTCATATAGATATATACAAAGAAAGAAAATGAAAAGTGATCTATAATTTTATTGCCAGACACCCCTGTTAACATTTTTATATATACAAATATTATAAGTATAATGTTAGAGAATTCAAACAGTGTAAGAATGTCAAAATGACAAAAAAGAATATCCAAAATGAAAAATAAAAGCCTTCTTCTCATGTTCTCCTGTAAGTGTATCTTGCTGAAAGAAATGACTATTAATAGTTCTTTTGGAGGGCTTCCATGAAAAGTTATATATGTACTCATACATATACAGTTATATATTTATTTAATTTAACAAAGAGACTCATATTAGGTATACTGTTGTACGACTTGGTTTTTTTCCATTTATTTTATGCTGCTGATCTTGCAATACCACATATATAGATAAACCTCATTATTTTTAACAATTGTATAAAATTCCAACATATGGATGCTTTATAATATTTTTAACCAGTACCTTAACTGATTGACACTTTAATTGGTTACATTTTTTCCTCTTAAAACATATTGTTGAATTATGTTTAACATATATATTGAATGTATATCTTAGTGAACTTTTTGTGAGTATCTCTGTGGGTGTATTTTTGGCAGATATCTGTTTTAAAATGATATAGAGTTGGGAGCTCTGGTAGCATAGTGGCTAAGACACTTGCCTGCTAACCAGAAGGCTGGCGGTTCAAACCCACCAGCCACTCCTCGGAAGGAAGGTTGGGCAATCTACTTCTGTAGTGATACTGCCTCGGAAACCCAAGGAGGGGTCACTATGAGTCGGGGCCGACTCGACGGCACATAACAACAACAACAACAACAATTATAGAGTTAGAAGAAGTCTTCTAAGTACAAACTATATCAAAGCCATTATATTGATATAAAACATTTTTAAATATATTTACAAGAAGAGTAGTAAAAACTTCTTAATATTCCAGTATCCATTAATCTCACTATCAACTTATCTCTTCATGACGCTTTTATTTTCTGATATTCCCTAGGGTGTTCGTCCAGTAGCCCAGGCTGGCAGTAAACATGATGAACTTAGTCCCTTAGCCCTGTTTGCTTTCTTTGTGAATCGCTGCAAGGATAATCTGCATGTTGTAGTGGCCTTTAGCCCCATTGGAGATGCCTTTCGAAATCGCTTACGGCAGTTCCCATCCCTCATCAATTGCTGTACTATTGACTGGTTTCAGGTTTGTAATTTTCTTCTTCTTCTTCTTCTTTTTTTTTTTTGCAACTAACTCTTTTATAGTTTTATTGAAATCTTATGTAAGCTCCACTGATATAAAGTAGCTCAGTGGCACAGTGGGCAAGGCATTTGGCTACTAACTTAATGACTATATCATAATCGACTCAATGGTGGTAGATTAATAAACATTCAGTAAATGTTTCTTGACTACTTACTATAATAACAGGCATGATGTTCAGCACCACAGACTGATGAGACATGATCCCTGCAAAGAGCTCATACTTCAGTCTGGAAGACAGATAAACCAGTCAGAAAATCAACAGTCATAGTTATAGAAAAGAGCAAAAATCTCGGTGTACAAAGGGTGTGTATATATACATATATATATATATGTATATATATATATACACACATATATATATATGTATATATATATATATACACATATATATATATATATATGAAGACAATAAATCTTTGAAGTATGAAGATGAATTAGCTATATATGTGCAAAGGCTGTGAAGAGCACGGCTCATTTGGGCAGCTGCAAATAATATAGCTGGCTGGCAATGAGGAAGACAGGAGACAAGGGAGAGCTTTGGATAGATGCCAGGTTATAAAGAGATTCTGTAAGATGTGCTTAGATATTTGGTTTTATCCCAAAGGTATTATGGAATATTAACATATTTTTAGCTAATCTATATTTTAGGAAAAAGCCTCATGGAGGCTGTGTGGTAGATAAATTGGACAGGGGCAAAACAAGAGGCATGGATTTTAGTTATGCCAGCAGCTCATGGTGAAGGCTATCACCTCACTTAACCTTAAGGCAAATTGCCATTGCCTGTATAAGACCATCAAACATTTATTCCATTGAGAATAATGGCTCATGATGCCTCCTATTGTTTTATGCCCAGTAGAAAGTGGACTGTAGGTTGACCCTGGATAATTTCTTTTTAAAATAAATTTCTGATACTAATTGGTTTTATTCTCTTTTGCCTACTTGTTATCAATTGGATGTTTGATTAACAAATTCTGCCAATTTGAAAGTTACATATGTATTTACCTAGTGGATGTTTGCATATTAATACAATAAAAGCTATGTGGAATTGGTTTCCACAAAGCTATGGTTTTGGTTTATGCAAACTACATCTCAATATTACTTCTTTTAAATAACCAAATGAGAAAACCTGTCCCACTGTAAGTTTACTTTTTGTGAAACCTTATAAAAACAGTTCTACTACTGCTAGATACCTTTTTCATAACCATAAGACTTTCCGTTCTGTTATAAGTGAATCATACTTGTTGGGGGAAATTAGAAAAAGAGGGATGCAGAAGTTGCAAATAGACAAAGGAGGTTAAGTGGACAATAAAGAGGAAAAAAGATTATACCGTAAAGCACTGGAGAGATAGAGCCTATGTCATAGAGGCCAAAGGCATTGTTTGGGGTTTGAGTTTGTGAAACTCAGGAAGTGAGTGTAAAACCCTGTGTATCTCACAATCAGAAAGGCATTGACTTTTTGTACAGATCTCCAGTCTCCAAAGTAGGGTGTAAACTTACCGGGGATGCCAAAACCATTCAGAGAACAAAAGAAGGCATTATTGGAATATTTTTGTATGAAATAGGAATATTATAAGAGTCATATGCGATGACCAAGTGGGTTTTATTCCATGAATGCATGAATGATTCAACATTAGAAAATAATCATCAGTAGAACAAAGGAAAAGAACCACATGATCATCTCTATGGATGCAGAAAAAGCATGTGATAAAATCCAACATCCTTTCTTGATGAAAACCCTGAAGAAGATTGAAATAGAGGGAAAATACTCAATATGATTCAGAGTGTATATGAGAAGCCAACAGCCAACATTATCCTTAATGGAGAAGGACTGAAAGCTTTCTCCTTGAAACAGGAAACAAGACAAGTGTGCTTGCTCTCACTACTTCTACTCAATACTGTATTAGAAATCATTGCCAGAGCAGTAAGACATAAATAAATAAATAAATAGAAAGCATCCAGCTTGGAAAAGAAGTAGTAAAATTATCTCTATTTGTGGATGATATAATCCTATATATAGAAAATTCCAGAGAGTCCACAAGACAACTTTAGAACTAATTTAGGAATTTAGCAAAGTTGCAGGGTACAAGGTCCAAACCAAACTCACTGCCATCAAGTCATGCCCAATCCATAGGGATCTCCATTGGTTTTCTAATGCTGTAAAACTTTACGGAAGCAGACTGGCCCATCTTTCTTCCATGGAGCAAATGGTGGGTTTGAAGCACTGACCTTTAGGTTAGCAGCCAAATGCTTTAACCCTACTACACCACAGAGCTACTTGGGTACATGGTCAGAAAACAAAAGTCAGTTGGGTTTCTACACACCAGCAATGAGAAATCTGAAAAGCAAATGAGGGAAATAATTCTACTTCTAGTAGAATCTAAGAGAATAAAATGCCTAGGAAAAAATCTAACTAGGGACCTGAAAGAGTTGTACAATGAAAACTATAATATATATATATATATAAACAATATATATATATAATAAACAATAAGCTGCTGAAAAAGCTTAAAGAAGACAGAAATAAATTGAAAGATCTTCCATGTTCATGAATTAGAACCCTTTATATTGTTAAGATGTCAATATTACCCAAAGCAATCTATAGATTCAATGCAATCATGGTCAAAATTCCAACAGCCTTTGTTACAGTAATAGAAAAACCAATCCTGAACTTTATATGGAATGGCAAGAGGCCCCATATAGCTAAAATGTTGAAAATGAAGAAAAAAGTAGGAGGATTCACACATTCTGATTTTAAAACATACTATACAGCTACATAAATCAAAACAACCTGGTACTGGTATAACAGGAGACACATAGACCAATGGAATAGAATTCACAGTCCAGAAATAAATCCATACATCTGTCATTAATTATTTTTTGATAAGGGTGCAAAATCCATTCTAAATGTGGAGAGAAGAGGTGGTACTGGGAAAACTGAACTTCCACAAGCAGAAAATTGAAACAGTATCTTCGCCTTATACTAAGCCAAAAACAAATTCAAAATGGATTAAGGATCTAAAAGTGCAAACTAAAGCCATAAAATTCTTAGAAGAACAAGCAGGGACAATACTGTCAGGCCTAGCTTTCAACAAGGGATTATCTAACATAACAACAAAAGCACAAACAGCAGAAGACAAAATAAATCAGTGAGACCTCATGAAAATTAAAAACTTTGGTTCATCAAAAGACTTTACCAAAAAAAGTGAAATGACAAGCTACGAACTGGGAGAATATCTTTGGAAACCATACATCTGATGAGTCTAATAACCAGTATACATATATAAAACTTCAACAGCTTAACAACAAAAAGACAACCCAATCGTAAAACGGACAAAGGACTTGAATAGACATTTCACCAATGAGGACATTCAAAAGGCCACCAACATGAAAAGATACTTAGCATCAGACATCAGATAAATGCGAATAAAAACCACAATGAGATACCATTACACTCCTACTAGGATAGCCAACATTGGGGAGGGGTACAGAAAATAGCAAATGTTGCCGAGGATATGGGGAAATTGAAACTCTTATCCATTGCTGGTAGAAATGAAAAATGATACAGCCATTGTGGAAAACAGTATGGTGATTCCTCAAAAAACTAAAAATAGAACTACTACCATATGACCCAGCAATTCCACTCCTAGTTATATCCAAAAAAAACGTGAAAGCAAAGACTCAGAAAGAGACTTGTACACAGTGTTCATTATAGCACTATTCACAACAGCCAAAAGGTGGAAACAGCCTAAATGCCCATCAAAAGATGAATGCAAAAACAGAGTATGGTACATAGGTAAAATGGAATGGTACTTAGCCAGAGAAAGTTTTGATACATGCTTCACTGTGGATGGAACTTGACGACATTATGCTGTGCAAAACAAGTCAGTCACAAAAAGACAAATATTATGTGACCTCACTTACATATGAAAAATAACGAATTATTAGAATGTTGTATTAAATATTTTAGATGGATTGACATTGACACCCTTACTCAGTTTGTATGTCAAATAGCCACATGTGATCGATGGTATACAAGATGCCTTAAGGGATTCCTATAATGAACTGAAAATGGAATACATAACACAAGCATAAAAGGGTAGTAAGAGAATGGCATAAACTAGCAGGAGCTAACTTGAGCTCTTTGACAGCCACGTCATGAGACAAAAACAATGAATAGTTAACAAGATCAGATGAGGTGTTGGTAAAAAAATAATTTAAGAAAGCTATTTGGAATATGGATTTACATCAACTGTTTAAACAATAAACCTTACCATCAAGGTGTGTCATCTCTTGTAACACTAGCTTATGATGGCAAGGGAGATACTAGTTTGGTTAACTATCCAATATCCATTTTCTTTCCCTCCATCTTTGCTCATGGAGGAATCAAAATCAGAATTCTGATTTTGTGTGGGAAATCACTTTATGTACCACAGGAGTTGATTTATGGTTGATCTACGTTAATAATGATACTTTTATTCCTTTTGCTAGCTACTGGTTTATTCATGAGCCTGTGCAAAGCCCATTCCTTGGCAATGGGTCCTGAGGCCAAGTCTTCTGGGGGGCTTTGAGGAAGTTTGCTTCACTTCAACAAGAGTCACGTGGTAGAAAAAGGGCCTTTTCTGTCAGCCTTGTCATTTGAGAACGTGATGCCCCAAGCACACATACTTTTCTTTTAAAGAAAAAATATATAATTTTCTTTTGTTTTTGTTGAGAATATAAAGCAGTAATCTTGCATCTTGATGGGGCAAGCCCAAGAGTAAAATAAAGTGCACTGAGAATGGTGGAGCAAAAACATGGGGAGAACTTGGGTCCTTAGATATGGTTGAGCTTCTACATTAAGCAACCTTGCAAATACCCTACTTCTAGACTAAACCAAAAAAAAAAAAAAAAGAAACCATACTCACTGCTATTGAGTCGATTCTGACTCAAAGTGACCCCTTTTGGTTTCTGAGGCGGTAAATCTTTAGGAAGTAGGTTGCCCAGTCTTCCTTCCGTGGAACAGCAAATTCCAAGGCCAAGAAGCAGGAGCACACTTGAGATATTCCAGGAAAAGCAGAGGAATTCTTCCACTGAGATGGAGAAGAGTGAAGAAGCATCAGAGTTCTGGGGAAGAGAATCAGAAGTTCAGCTTTGGACATTACAATAAGTTAAGAATTGTGATGGGCTACTACTAACAGAAACCCAAAGTAAACACATAAAGTTTTTTCCTCTCATATAGAAAAAATATGAAGGTAAGCAGACTGGGGCTCTTGTGGAGTAACAAAGTCATCAGAATTCCAGATTCTTTCTATTTTTATTCTTCTTAGCATGTGGTTTCCATTCTCAAAATTACTTTATGGTTCAGGGTGGCCACTGGGGCTCCAGTTTTTACTTCCATGTCTCAGGCAGGAAGTAAAAGAATGGAGGGAGGGCAAAAAGTACACATACCAGTTCTGTAACCCTCTTTAAGAGCCTTCTTTGCAGTCCCCACCTAACATCTGCTTATATGTCATCAGCCACTCTGAATTGCAAGGGAGTCTAGGAAATTTAGTCTGTTAGTTGGGTATATTGCTATCTAGAATAAAATTAGAATTCTAAGGAAGAAAAGACTAATAGATATTGAGTAAGCAACTAGCAATCTCTGCCACTATCATGAGAAATTTGGGATTCCAGTTAGACGTTCACATGTTGAAGAGTTGGGAGAGGAGTGAAATGTATCTTTGATATGCAAAATATCATGGATCCTACCTTTATGTTGTATATTGTCTTAGTTTTAGTGTATAAAAATATTTATTAAGTCTTTCATAGATTTACTTATGACCTTTGTCCTCCTAGTTCTATTATTGGAGAAAATTGTGTTAAGTTTCCTAACCCCAAATTCTTGTCCTATAGGAAGATATTAACTTATATAGCTGAAGTGGGACCACCTGTCTTAAATTTCATATTAAATTTTTCTTTTTCTTATTTTTAGCCATGGCCTGAAGATGCCCTTGAACTTGTAGCTGTAAAATTCTTGGAAACACTAGAGCTCACTGAAGTTGAACGACAAGAGGTAGTTCCAATCTGTAAACACTTTCACACCTCCATTGTGGATCTTTCAGAAAGGTTAATATTAATCAATTTTAATGACAATTATATCTTGCATTTTAAAGCCAAAATTTTAATATGATTTCTATGTCTTCTGAGTCTTTCCAGACATTTAATTAGTTAAGAGCCTCAGCCTGCAAGTAAGAGAAAGCTGCTTGTTCTAGCTTTAACAAAAGGAAGAGTTTATTATGAAAATAGGGCCCTGTGTGGCACCAACAGTTTACTGCTAAGACTACTACACACACACATGCACATGTAAGTGATGATGTCTCATGGCAACAAACAGTTGACATCTAACTTAAAGGCTGGCAGTTTGAACCCACCCAGCAGCACCTTGGAAGAAAGCCCTGACAATGTACTCCTGCAAAGATTACAGCCAAGAAAACCCTATGGATCAGTTCTACTCTGTAGCACATGGAGTCATCATTAGTCAGTTCATGGTTTTTTCATTATAAAGACATAGGCATATCTCACAAAGCTGAAGGGAAGAAATAAAGCTAGATCTCAGAAGTGACCGGAAGCAGGAATTAGAAAGCCAACCAGAAACCCAGAAATGTTTCTCATCTCTGCTTCTCTCTGGGCATCTCCTTTCTTTTTTCCCTTTGCAAACTAACTTTTCTACTTCACAGAGAGTGATGAGGAAACTGGCTGCCAGTCGGCTCTTAAGTTTACATATGGTAGTTTCAGCTATAGGCAGAGACTGTCTGGCTGTTTTTAGCTCCCTATTATGAATTTCTAGGAAAAAAAAAATGTGATTAGCTTGTTTGTGTCCACTACCCATCCCTAGTCCCATCAGCTGTGGGCAGGTGGCAGGTTTCACAGGCCAAACATTGCTGCCAGGGCATTGGATGGCAGTTCTCAGAGAGGGTAGTTGGTTGGTGGACTACAGATACCCAAAAGTGTTTGTTCATCTTTCAAATCCTCATCTCAAAAGTGTGAAGCCAAAATACTCATGGTATATTCTCTATCTAGAGTCATACAGCCAGCCAGCACAGTTGACTTGGACACTGGTAGACCCTACCCTACATACTTGCCATGAGACATCATCACTTCCATTGCTTCCATGTGCACATGTGTGTAGTAGTCATATTTCTGGCCATTTTCCATTCAGCTAACATATGGATCTGTGCAAGGCATGATGACTCATGCTTGCTACCTTATCTCCAATTCCCTGTCTTATACTTGTGTAGCATACACAATGTCTTGGGCCCCTTATAGGGTGTGATCCTCCTGACTTATGAAATATATAAAAAGGTATCTATCTATCTTGTTTTAGTTCACTTTGGATAGACATCTTTGTTGATTTGTACTTTTAAAATACAATCTCATTGTTGTTTGATTTTTTTAGACAAAAAATTTGGATGTGGTTTATGGATAGACTTCTAGAGTTTTGTGAAGTTCACATATTTGGCAGCTTCTAATAAAAATCAATATTTATTCTTATATATTTGCTGTTAAAATGTTATATTGAATGTCACTTTGTGAAACCCATTGTTATTTACCTTTCTTTTAGGTTCTTGCGAGAGTTAGGACGACATAACTATGTTACCGCCACTTCTTATCTTGAACTTATTGCTTCATTTCGACAGCTTTTGACTAAAAAGCGACAAGCTGTCATGAATGCGAAACAACAATATACAAATGGACTTGACAAATTAGCTTTTGCTGAATCCCAGGTAAATTTGATTAGCTGCTCAAAATGGCAATATATAATAGGAAATAAAAGATACAGAAATAACAATAGCTATAAGTTACTGAGATTATATTGTGTGCCAGACACTGGGCTATGTACTTAACCTGCATCCTTTCATTATTCCTCATAAAAACTCCAGGACATAGACACTTTTATGACTGTCCTTTTACAGATGAGGAAAATGAGTTTTAGAGAAGCTGAATGTTGTCTAGACCACACAGATTCAAATACATCTTGTTATATTTTTAATTAATATTGTGATATTTGAGAGAATGTAACTTCAGGTTGACTTTTTATAATTACCATTGGTTAAATATAAGTTTTTATTTATTTATTTTATATATGTATGACTTCAGTAATAACAACATTTATTAGCATTAAAAAAAAAAAAAACCAAACTCACTGCCATTGAGTCAAACCCAACTCATAGCGACCCCTCCTTGAGTTTCCTAGGAGATGTCTCTACGGAAGTAGATTGCCCAAGCTTCCTCCTGAGGAGTGGTTGGAGGGTTTGAACTGCCAGCCTTCTGGTTAGTAGTCAAATGTTTTAGGCACTATGCTACCAGTGCTCCTTTATTAGCATTAGCTCAGTATAAATTACAAATGTTTGGGCAGTTTGTCTTTGCGTAGTACATCATGCAAAGAGTATCATAGGTATACCCTGAGCTGCCACTTTCTTTTGTATTTGCATTTATTCTGTGGTCATTGTGGGAGCTCTGGAGGTGCAATACCTAAGGCATTTGACTGCTAACCAGAAGGCTGGCAGTTCAAACCCACCAGCTGCTCCTTGGAAGAAAGATTGAGCAATCTACTTCCGTGGTGATATTGCCTGGGAAACCCAAGGAGGGGTTGCTATGAGTTGGAAAAATGACTGACAGCAGTGAGGTGGTTTTTTTTTTTTTTTTTAATGGTAACTGCAATCTTTCATTGCCCTGTCACATACTCAGAGAAGATAAATTCTTTTGTAAAGAAAACTGGCCAAACTCCAGTCTTGTTGATCATGCAGAGAACTATAAGGAAAAGTTAATATTTTCTAGTCCCAACACTTTATAGCACATTAAGGTTCTATGTTCTGTTTTTTGTTTCCATAGCTATTGCAGCTATGACAATAGCTTAATGACAAACTGTCTATTTAGGTTGGTGAAATGCAATTGGAGCTTGTCCAGTTACAGCCCAAATTGGAGGAAGCTAAAATTGAGAATGCACATATGATGCAGGTAGAGTATCCTGAAAAAAAAAATTTTTTTTTATGTTAAAACCAAATCCAACCCACTGCATTGAATTGATTCTGACTCACAGTGACCCCCCCATCAGGATTACAAAGCTGTAAATCTCATGGAAGCAGACTGCTGCACCTTTCTTCCTCAGAGCAGCTGTTGGGTTCAAATCTCCAACCTTTTGGTTAGCAGCCTAATGCCTTAACCACGGTGCCATCAGAACTCTTTATTGATGCCAAAAGACAACTGGAATATGTAAAAAGTTAGCCTTGAAAATAAGACTTAATTTTGATTTTAAGGTCTTTCTCATTTCTATTGATTGGCTATCTTACTAACTCCCTTGTGGGTTCTGTCATTTTTGAGGGCACGTGGGAAACCCATTACCAAATTGGGTCACATGTATTTACATTTCTTCTCATTCTTTCCTGAATGCTTCTACACTTCAAAATGTTGTGTTTGACTCTTCAAGTTTTCAAATATTCCTTTTGTCTCTGAGATTGAGAAAGGAATGGGATGCTTAAGGAATTACCCTTAGTTTTTCTTTCTTTAGATTATTGAGGTAGAGTCTGCACAAGTAGAAGCAAAAAGACAGTTTGTAAAATTTGATGAAGAGATAGCCAGTGGAAAGGCTGAAGAAGCTCAAGTTCTGAAAAACGAGTGTGAAAGTGACTTAGCTGAGGCGATTCCAGCCTTGGAAGCAGCTCTGTCTGCATTGGATACGCTAAAGGCAAGTACTTGAATTATCGGCTTTATGTTTCATAAACAAAACAAAACTTTGTACAGGTACTTGGTTAATTAGATGTGGTTTTTTTTCAGTGGATGGCATTATGCTGATTTTTCTTTTCCTCAGCGAAATTAAATGCAACTTGTCTCTTAGCAGTTCTTCCTTGATATATTGCAATTTTTATATTTTTGCTTTTCATATTTTATTTATATTCAGGATATTCCAATGGGAATGGGGTAAAGGGTCTCTGAGAGACTAAAATGATCTGTAGATAGACTCGGAGGCATACCATTCTGCAACCTTCTTGCCATGTATGTACAGAAAAATTCTAGTCGTTTTTCAATACAGCGGTTGGTAGCACCTGTCTGCATTACACGATATTGTGCCTTCAGACAATATTGAGCCAACCTCACCTAATAGGAGAGGAGACACAGCTTCTTTTGACTAGGGAGGCTCAAGCAGTGTGCTGGTTTGAGATACTCCGATCCTATTCTTTGCCTTGTTCCCTAACTAGTGCCATAACTTTCATGTGAGGGGCCTGACAAGGCTGTGAATTCAATCTATGGTTTATTCAGCATCTCACAGAATCAAACTGTCTGGTTTTCAGTTACATCAGCCCTGTAGTTGTAACACAAGAGATTATTTTAGAACATTTATGGAGACTTCCTAGTTCTTGGACCAGGAATTTAAAAACCGAGCTTATTGTTTTCTTCTTTTATGTTTTTTGGCACATTTAATGTTCAATCTTCTACCCACGAGCATGGGATGTTCTTCCGTTTATGTAGATCTCTTATGGTTTCTTGAAGTAGTTTTTTATAGTTTTCTTTGTAGAG